ATATATATATATATATATATAATCGAAAAAAAGAAATTCATTCTAATATTGGTATACGAAGAGACAAAGAAGACACGTCAGCCATAGTAAGAATAATAATTTATGAGCTGCTGCAGTGTGACTATTGACTATTCCAAAAACGTTGGTGTTTTCTCGTCGCACATAAGTATCTCGATAAGCAATAATTCGTTTGCTTAAAATAGGATAAGCTGATCGTCAAATTTTATTACACAACCTCACTGAAATCCAGTCAACTCACTTTTATCGACTACTGATGTGCTGCTGTCATGTTATAGCTTTGCGCATGCCTATGCAGATTTGTGCATCTGTACTATTAGATGCCGAGAAAAGTCTCGTTTGAAAGGCATTTGATGAATTGAATTATTTTCATAACAATGGAAATATTTCAACGTCTGCCATACATAATTATCGATTCAACTGGAGCATTCCAACGGTTTTATTGTTGTTTTCCATGTTTGAAGTAACAGATGAGGTAAAAGTTTGTGGTTGCATCTGACATTTAACAGGTAGTACGATTTCATTTTTGATTACAACCTCGAAAATAACATGTTACTTTTTATGTTATTTTCGTAATCTTACGGGAATCGATTCGTCATCATCAGATGCATTTCCGAAGTGTTCAGTTGGCAGCCAAATTGATAAGCTGCAATGCACGGAGAATAATAGCATTAATGGTCCAAACAAATTTCGGTCACTGAATTAATATCTTATGTGAATGATGGTAATGACGTTGACGACAGCCTGTCGACCACTTCGTTCACAATGTTCCACACAACAGATTTAAGGAGACGCGTCTGAAACGTCTGCTGATGAGAAGAAGTATGAAATACTGACATGTGTTTAGTGGTATACTGATCACAGTGAAAATGGTTGAGATCAAAATCTTAAGAGAACACTGAAAGCAGCGATGGGCATTAGCGCCCTATTCGCTATTTCGCGACTGGCGGAGCCGTTTTTTTTAAAATCGGGAACGCAACAGCTCGCTACTTTTTTTATACAGCGAAAATTGTAGCGATAACTTCGGCTATAGCAATTTTTTAGCGGCAATAGGGAGCGATAATTTGCGGTATCATGTTTCGTTACCCTTTTAGCGAGCCACTTTCTCATCCGCCAACTTGCTACCTACCGTCTGCAGGGGAACGCTTACTTCTCTCAAGAACAACAAGATACTTAAAATACATATTTTTGCCTCAGTACTGATAAGTGCTAAATTCGAACTTACCATACCAGAACTCCTCTTAACCCATTGTAATTGAATATTCAGTTATAGCTCAAATACTTGTAATAAGTGCACTATTAGCATTCCGTCTGAACTCACTAAGTTGTGCGACATTAAATAAGTTGTAAGAGAGCTTTATTCGTTTCTGTTCTCACTACGACGGGATATAATAAAAACCAAACGAGTCGGACTCTCAGGCGAAATGCTCAGCATGCTGATGTTTTTGAGAAGGAATGTGTAATGTGAACTGCAGCCTGTTGCTTGTTTTACATTTTTGAATTTTGCTGTCGTCACTTGGTTATTTTTCATTGTTGAACTTTGTTTCTATTATTGACTGGTGCTTACTTTTGGGAAATTTTCTGCTGCTCAATGGCGTAATGAGGTTTTTTCGAGACAGATCAGTGGTAAGATTTTAATTTTAAGGGAATACTTGAAAGTAGTAATTAGCGATGGTGTTTAGCTGAGTAATTTTGCTGAGTAGCGTTTTAGTGCGAACCACCACTATTTTTCCCGATTAGCAGCAATTTTGACGGTAAAATTTCGTCACTTTTGGTTAGCAGCACTGATAGCGGGTTATTTCTAACGGAACAAAAATATTTTTAGCGAACTAGCGATTAGCGGAGCTACTTTTTTCAGTAGCGTACCCATCATTGATTGAGAGTTTATGCAAGTAGTAGAGTTAGTTACCTTCAAAATACCCGTTTTTGAAATAGGTGAGTGAATTCAGGAAGAGCGGATGATCGTGGAAGAATTGTGAAGGAGATGAGGAATTGAAAGTGTCGCTTCTTCAAAAGAAGCAACTAGAAGAAGTAGCGCGTTATTGCGACGTACGAAGTTGAGTAAATGAAGGCAAATGCGAGTTTGACAGTGATGAACAGTATCTGACAATCGTTGCGTTCCATCAGCACAGGTGACAATAATAATTGAAGGCAACAACAACCACAGTGGCCGTTCCGACAACGAGCGGCACCCCAACCAAGAGGATCGTCAAAAACGATGTTCGTGTTGACAATGGAGCATCCTGTTCTGGATACGAAGGATTTGTGTCAATGCTGAAATTGTAGCCCATTTTTATTTCAACAATATTATCACATGAAATCCATTCTGTCCTATTCCAGAACCATTTGCATTCATTCTTTCGGTTGTATCCACTGCAGTAGTGAGGAAGGAGATGAGGAAATAAAAGCAATTCAAGAAAACAACCCGTCACAATCACACAGTGCGAGTGGGATAGCTACTTGGCTAGTCACATGTACAAGTAAAGGTGCTGGATGGCACATTTCAATCAATGAGGAAATGAACAACAATGAGCATGAAAACATCTATGAAAACGTTCATTAGAAACAGTCTTCTCGAAACATATGGATGATGTTATCTATGATTAAAAGTTTAACCTGTCAACTCGGTTAAAAACAAGCGAATCGCCATCCGGTGGTTCTGTATCTTTGCGCGTATTACTTCTGAGATAAGAGAACGTATTGCACAACGGCTTATCACAAGCACACAAGTCTAACCATCTGAAAATGCGAAAACATATGATCGGCAATAATTGTTTCACTGGATATTAAACGATATAGTTTCCAGCCAAATTCATGTTCAGTAGGTAATCAGAGAATAAACAATGTTGTCTGTGATTAAAAGTTCATTTGTCAATTATAATATAAACAATCATAAACATAAAGATGGGTATGGATGGTGCGTATAAGCCTTTAAAGAACAACTACATCATATTGATAATTCGAAACATTACTTCCGTTTGCTGTCATGTATAAATGGCTATTGAATAAATCGTATTGGTGCATTACGAATAAAAAAGAAGATGAAACACAGCATTTAAATGATCCGAAAAGCAAAGCTATCCTACCTAATTATGGCTATGAACCTATATTTACATTTCAATAGTTCATTCTAGAGCGATCACGTTTATATGAAAACATATTGTTATTTCTCGAGACTGTAGATGCTAGAATCGTGAACTGGTTTAAATCAACTCACTGAAAGTGAAGAAGATAGGTAACTGATGCATTTGAAATGGTAAATTTGAGTAAATGAGAGATAAGAACAGTCCAAAAGAAATGCTTCACTGCTCATTTCAATATCTCATTAACAAGTACGTCTTCAATGGAGGCCAATAATTAGTGTTTGCAGTGATTATAACAAATTACGGAAATGGTAAGGTTATAAAGTCAATCTTCATAGGAAAACGACTCTCGAAAACTTTACGCCACAAACAAAATACGCATACCTCCGAAACTAGCTCGTTATTCAAAACTCAATTTAATAGTAGTACCACTTGAAAAGAATATCAGAATACATTTTTCTTTTCATGAACTCTCACTAGATCAATTGCTATTATCGATACAAAAAACAGTATCCAAACTAATCACCAACTTTTCGAATAAAATTTATTCCTTTACAACTGACTCCGTTGAATGTAAATCTATTGATCATACTCACGACGTTCGTCATCGGATGATATTGTCATAATCTATGTTCATAAAGTAGTAATGAAATGAACAACACATACCTTCCAACGTTTCTTCGACAACCGATTAATTCTGAGCCACAAGTACGTATAACTGAATTTGAACTTTTCAGTATACCAACCAAACAAACACTGCTTTCACAAACACCGTACGGAACACAATGGTCATCAGTGCAATAGCACTTGATAGCGTTTGCTATTAAGGTTGACATGAACGAGAGTAGTGAAATAAATAATACGTTCATCTGCATTCTTCTTTTATTATATGAATAGTTTTCCACTTTGTACACCACTGCACTCGAACGAGAGAAAATATGATGCTGCTTCAACTCACATGTCCATATCGGCGCCATCAGTGGCGTCCATAGTGAGCGAGGAGGAGGTGTGACTGCAACAACACCTCTGATAACGGTTAACTCGCTCTTCTGAAACTGATAAACATCAAGTTTCAACTGAGTGAACGTAATCACTTTCATAGAATGTCAATTCGCAAATCATATAAAATCAAATCATTCAGCTGACAATACCTTTCAAACATATCGAATGTCAACCAACCGAACAAAACAGAGCAAAATTATTTCAGCAAATCTATCTATGGCATCCAGTTTTATACTTTTAGATGCAACGTCATTATTGCTGTATTTTCAACTAAACAACTCCCAAACACCTTTCATTGTAAACTTCTTCATGTACTAGACAGGTATGAATACCTTCTATAAAAAAGATCATATACTTCTTCCTTGACTTTTTTCCAGTATTTTCGAGGCGTTCATTCATAGATTTCTGCTACTAGTACTGTCACTTTCAGTAATAACGTCGTTTATTTCTATTATTCCTATTTCTATTATCATCGTTAGAGCTGTTCCTATTAAGAATAATACTAATTAACATTATAACATTACAATTATTCCTTTCCACTGCCTTTCGAAAGCCAATATCTATTAATTCATTCACTATTCAACCACTATGGCAAAGGAAATAAGATATCGATATCTGCACCACACATTCATCAAACACATTTATTGCCTCGAATTGCTGTGCATCAATGACGTTATATCAGAAAGTTCAAGAAGATTTTGACGTTTTAACTTCAGTTAGAAACCTTACATAAATATCAAGTTCATTTGAAACATGTTACGGCTGCTTGACAATTACGGCAGTCGAGTTGGAAGAGGAATGAGAAATGTTACTGAATAACTAACAGAGAGTCCAATAAATGCACACAACTGAAAAAGCAGTGAACAAAGAATGTTAAGCCATCTGAAGTCGACAAACTGCACTAATTGAAATGAAATGTCGTTTTGAATCAATCTTATCAATTAATATAAAGAATGTGGTAAAACGAATCTTATAAAAAGTGAGAAAAGATTCATACCGACATTAGCGAACAACTAACTAAAAAGGTGCTTCACAATAGCAGCTACCATATATAAACAGTGATGCCTCAATTTGAAACAACTGACTCAGCTCCGACTCTGCCTTCACGGTTTTCAAATTCGACTCCAGCTCAGGCTCTAAATTTCTCGAAAATTCTTCTCCAGCCCTACTTTCTAGAATTCTAAACTTTCAGTTCCAGTTCCAGCTACGGCTAGGCAACTTTCAAATCACAGCTCCGGCTCCAGCTCTGCGGCAATTCGGATCCAAAAAAATTAAACCGCAGGCTTTAACTCCGGCCACTAAACGTTGATCTGATATTTTTTGAGGGAACCAAGCGAATTTTGTTTGTTTCGGGAGCATGAGCATCACTGTATGTAAAGATGGTTTGTTCCATGCAGATTTGAAAGATATGAAACCTTTCAATCAATTAACAGCACTGAAAAGACTATTGCAATCCTTACAGGGAATCAAGCAAAATGCTCGTCATTTTGCACAAAAATAGATATACTGTAGTAAGGGATGACAGGAAACCATTAGTGGATTCGTTGCAGTCAGCATATCGAATTGAATCAGAAACTTAGTTGAGATATATTCTAGAATATATTTTTACACCTCGATGAATGAACCAAAGAGAGCAAGCAAAATCAATCTCACAAAAAGTCGAATTTTCGTTCTACCAAAAAATTATACAAATGAAATATGCACATAAATATACGCGTATTGAATAATTGGTGCAGAGCCCGTTTTAGGCGTAAAGCATAATAATGAAACAAAGTATCGATCGATGTAAAGTGTCGAATAAACGAACTAACTCGTCGTAGCTTTAGTAAAAGAAAGATCGAAATGAATAAGACGAAATGGAGATGTAATGTTGATGAATGAGCAAGCGAAAATAACTGCTTCGTATCATAAAATAAATGCAATATTCATTTCTTGAACCAATAGAAATGCGCATAAGACATACATTTGTACTGCGACCCTTTTTCAAAAGAAATTATAAAAATAAAAGAATACTGCTAAACTCCGGCATACCTTTCATTAGTTAATTTCCCAAGGAAAAAATATTGCATTTCAACTTATCAAAACTATAGGTAATTTTTGTAACGAATAGTTATGGTTTTCTTTATTACTACAAGTTATTATTATTAACGTTAATGATCATTATCATTGGCATTATTATTATTGTTATTATTTATAATTACAATTATTTTTTATCAATATTATTATTGTTATTATCACTTTTATTATTATTATTATTATTGTTGTTGTTGTTGTCAGATTGCTTTGACACGAAATTGTTACCATTGAATAGCTGTGTGAAAAATTCTGTTACTGAACGTTTCTTTATATTTTTTAAAAGTCCGAATTCGTTTTCAGAAAATGAAAACGTAAAATTGTCATCATCATCGAATGGGCCGAACAAGAGATGTGAAACACTAATTACTGAGACTCTGTACTGCGTTAACAATAGCTATACCTCATTGTTGCATGTTTGATAAAATAGGTTATTGATTGTTTTACTTTCGCGAAATTCAAACGTTGCAAAACCGCATTTCTTCAAGAATAACAGTTAATACTGAAGCTGTAGTTCATTGAAACGATTTCTTTCCGAACGCCTCATCATTTGTTTTTTTTATTCGTTTGATATTTTTGAACGTGTGCGAAATTGTTCAGCGAACGCATATTATCCAAAGCGAATCGACAAATACTTCGATAAACTGGCAAATGAGAAGCAATGAGCGATTTCTGAGAAGCAATGTTCAACACAGTTGGACATGATTTAGTGTGATGCTTCGTTGAACTTAAGATGAATTTATTTTGATAATACCGATTGATCGTGCATATAGTATTAAACATATAGTGGATGCGAATAAGCTCACGAAATACATTTTTAAAATATCGATTAAAAGGTTAAAAGAACGTTTTTTTTTTCTTTTGAATCGTTCACTCCCGCTTTTTAAATATGCACACTTTCATTTGCTAACAGTGCCCATTCATACTCGATTTAGCGCATCTCTTGGAATACGTTCCAACATTACATGTTCAAAAAGTAATAATGGCAAACCAACAAATTCTTTCCACTTGTGACGACGTTGAATTAGAAAAAATTAGATTAAAAATTGTAATAAGAGTTAAGTTATTGAATAATTTTTTTGTTTTCTTTGAGGTGCTCTTTAAATCCTCCACCTAAAATTTCATTCAAGAAACTATTAGTGCGATACGAGGAAGTAAACGAGAAACTAACAGTAGTTGTGGCTTTTACAATGAACGATTGCGTTTGACGATGCGGCATTACGAAGGATAAAATTTTTAGTCGTAAGTGAAACGTATTAAAAATTAGTGTTGTAATTCGTAAACGCTTGTGATAAATGGAAGGAGAGGAGTTAATCGCTGAGATGTTGATTTGCAATTTTTGAGTTAACAACCGTACATCCTCTCTTATTTAGCGCTTTCATTGCATTTCAGTTTTCGCTTCGTTCATTTGCATAAATGAGTTACTTATCTAACTGAAAAATGCTCGTTTGCTCTATCTGACTTAACTTTTACGGAATCTGACTCCATTCAACAACTTTAAAGAATTTTGAATTCTTAGCGTTATACCATATTGCCACTAGCATTTGGGAGATTTTCAAATACTCTGTTGTTGACGCAAATAACGGTTAATAAAACTCATAAAAACGTTAGAAGAGGGGGGAGGGGAGGGGAGGGAAAGGCTGAAAAATCGATTTGGCATTTATTTGTTACATTCAAACAAACACATCAAGGACAATAGTTCTTGTTGCACTGAAAAAGATATCTGGAATTTAATCTTGCTTGTAAATGCCAATGCAAAATCCGTCGAAGATGACTTGTTCTCGAGAAAAGCATTTTCTTTCGAAAGGCAATAGTAAAAACAAGCAATACATGGAAGGCAAAATTACTTTAAGATCAATCAAATTACGGGTATCTGATACGGTTTTAATTGATTTAATCAACGAACTGAAGGTGGACAGACAATATTAGACAATTCAGACAGAGGAAGAGGGAGATAAAATTGCGAATCAATGTTCCATTTCCTGATCAAAATTTCACGAAGTAACCCTATCATACTATCTCCTTTCCGGTTTGAAAAAAATAGTGCTGCTCAGTGAAATGGTAAGTGCAGCAACTATTGTCCTTGATATGTTTGTTTGAATATAAAAAATAAATGCCAAATCGATTTTTCAGCTCCTCCTTCGCCCCCCCCCCCACCCCCCAGCTCTTCTAATTATGAACGTGCCAAATTGATATTATTTAGAAAATGCACATCAAACTACCAAACTATGTCAGAACATTGTAATAAAGCCTGAATAGATCCAGGGCCAAGCTAACTTATATCTGAGTATTTCAGTTTACAAAGTTTACTTTCAAGATTGCAAATATGCAATTGATAGTGTCATCGAAATTATGAATAACATGAACGAACACTATTCTTACACGATGAAAAAACATTTTGAAAAACGAATAGTAACAGGCAAATCAATAACTGGAGTATTTGACTGAAGAGATCGTTGAAAAGATTTTTTTCCGAAAGAGATGATAAAAGAAAACTGGAATAAAAAAATGATGATAGAAAAATGGCAAGCAGTTAATTGTCGAGTGAGTCTTTTGGTGGCAGTTTTGGTTATTCGAACATCAAATGAGGTTGTTTACACATTCGTAAATTTTTTGATCATTGATTTGCATCAGTATGCCTTCATGAATTCACTACTTCTGCTTGAAAACAACAACAAAAGAAAGATAAATGAATGTCATACGAGTTTATAAAATTAATCAAAATGGATATCCATATCAACGCAATGCATTTTTGTTAAGGACAACCAATAAACATAAACATGCAGATACATATGCCTTCAGCAATTCCGAATGAGATAGCTATTTCAATAGAATAGTAAAAGCTGTGTCTGCCTTATCGTTCGTTCTTCTGCATCCGAGAACAACCACACAAAACGATGTTGCTGTCTTATGGCCAGCCAAGCGCTGACGCGATCGTTTTGTTGAAACGACGCATACGTGCGCATATGCTGGTAACTATCTATCCATCTATCTATCTAGCCACATCCATCCATCTTGATCGATCTATATCGCTTCTACGATTTCATCTAGACACTCCCAACTACTACTACTGTTATTACCACAACTCATTTTACGCTTATTGCTACCAACCGCTAATACCATCAAATAGGCGATAAGAAACCACTCGTCGTCTGTCAGTTGTTGATTAATTCGATCGTTTTCTATTCGATCCGATCGACTCATTTGCTCATCAACCAACCCGAGGTTCATTTCTAAACACGCAAAACAAATATAAACCAACCAATAATAATGTCTGTCACACAAGCATCAATAAACGCAATATTATGAATTTACATGTTCCTTGGTGAGGACACGAAAATTTTCAAAGTCGTTTCAAATGTGGTAAAAAAAAGAAAGCATCTATTGAATAATTTAAAAAACAGCATCGAAGGTAAATGATAATTTCAGTTTTGCTCGTCGTTCTTTCGATATTCCCAGTTAAATGATTCCACTCAAATACCATCGAAAACGTTTGCAGCTAACACAATATCTGAATCGTGGATGCATAAGAGAAAATTCTTCTGCTGCTGATTCTTTTTTTTTTGGGATTCGAAAAGGATATACTATCTAGTGATCTAGTTGATGCAACCATAATCGCTTCTGCTCATTTCTGACAAACTTTTGTATGCATACTGTTGCATCCCTCATTTTCAGTCTTCTAACGAAATTATTTCTTTATTTCCAACGAAAAATTGTTTCCATTTCGCATAGCATCATAATGAGATTTGCGTTAACTTTTCTAGTATTCATTTTACTGCATTAATATAGTTTAATACAATTGAGAAGTGCCAGATTAAATTAGGTGAAAAATCGACACAACAAATTGAACTGGGCAATTACTATTTCGAAATAGTGTGCTTTTGAAATTCAAATTGACGCCAGGAGAGCAATAATTGTTTTGAAAATTTTGGATGTTACGGATGAAAAGAAGATGAAAAAATTACAGATTCAGTCTGAATTAGAATTAAGGAAATATGAAAATCGCTGAATTGTACTCACAAATCAAACAACGTCATATTTCATTCATAAGAAAACGTCACTTTTCACAATGTTTCAATCATTTTTTTCACTCAAATTTCATTCACTTCTCTATTTCATCCTCTTTCATGTATGTTCACACTAGCCATTCAATAGCTGTTAAACAACGAAGAATCAATGTAAAACAAATGTATTCGTTTTTTGCAATAAAAAATTTGCCAGCCAAATCGATTCAGTAATCCATAAAATAACTGAATGCAGTGTTCTACACAGCTTGGATTAAGTCACACGATATCAAAACCGTTTCGAAAGAATTCGAAACTTTGTTACCAAAAAGTGTGATATTCGACGTGGAAATGAATTGAAACTTAAATAATTTCACACTCCTTAGCCATGAAATTACTGAGAAAACGATTACTTATCTTGTGTATTTCACGAATAACCATTGGCGATCATTTATGAACCTTTCGCTGACATACTCAACTTACTGAAGGTCACTCATGAAAACACAATTTGCTATCGGTTAATTGTCAAGTTGATAACTTCGAACACAATAAACCTTTTATCACAAACAAATTAACTTGCTGACTGAAAGTATTTGCTTGAATTATAACGAAATCAAAACGATATCATGTCAAATATGCATAACGCTTTGATGAACATGTTTAATGACGAATGCACAATAAATGCAATTGCACCGGGATTTTTTTTTTGCGTGATTATCACCAGGTATTCACTAGTAGAACATTAGTTTCGAACCGTAAAATTAGCACAGAAATCGAAACTTTGCTTGACTGAGCTCAGTGAAATGGAATTCAGTACGTATTTTAGCGAAAAAGAAACGAAAAATTTGAACCGTTAAGCTAGCGACAATGACGGATTATTTAAAATAATATTTCTGTTATTTTAAATTCAATCAATGAATGCTCATTGATCGAATGTCGTTCAATTTCTTGTGCGGCTTTTGAAGATTGCGTTCTGAAATGAGCGCTCGACCAACTGTCAAAATGGACAATGCTGACTAGTATGTAATTATCCGCGTTATCGGCTAAATCGCTCTTAACTCTCCATTTTATTGTTAAAGCGATCGAAGTCGAAAAAACAAGATACAGCAACTGCTTATAGCAACATTTCCTTTTTTTTTGAACAAGTGCATAGCACACCATTAACACACTTCCGCCTAAATTGACAATACTTGAAGAGTATATAAAGAAAAATTTTTGTTGAATGCGTTGATCGAAGAATAAGCGTTGAGCTATTTCCTCGTATGGAATCAAAAAAAAATCATCGAAAGAAAAATAAATTTAATATGGCACATGAATTTGTTGAACCATATCATGAGCTATCTTATGCTATTTTCTGAATAGGGTTGAAGAATCACTGGTAATTGATAAATATGATGAAAGCAGATCAAATGCACGAAAGTCTAAGTAGATGAACGACGCACAAAACAAGCAGCCATAAGCATGCGACCACTCAAGGTTGTTTGCTCACTCGTACACTTTTGAAAGATTTAACATTCGATTGCGTTTTGCACAATTCTCGATTATCTCTACGAATACGCAAACGCAAATTCGTTACGTGTTTATAGATTCAATGCCGAAAAACTTGCAGCTGCCACAAATTAAAGTCAAAGAAAAAATTTAGTCCTAATTTTCAAACTGAGCTTCGCAAAAACTTTCCACTTGGAGTAACCGTGCAAATGTCCAAAAGTTAAGCTGAAGTAGCAATAATAATGATGAAAATAATAGCTATGATAACAATCTTGCCATTATTTTTGCCATCACTACAGGAATTATTATTTCTCTTATTATTATGAATTTGATAACCCGTGCCACATATTTGGTAAAATTCTGACACTGCATCTACCAAATTCAACGAAAATAATCTCCTCGAACGATGAAACGGAAACGCAGCTTGTCCGATGCCTTGCATTATGCGAACATGTCAACTAAGTACGACTCAATTATGCACATGCATCCGCTAGAGATGTCTATAATGAATTGGACAGAAATACGTTGTATTGGTACTGAGAAATGAAACTGACAAGTAACCACTTAACACCTATCTATGTTTATCCATAAACCAACCACTACAATTTTAAAAAATCGTCTTTTTAGTTTGTACATACATATTTTTCGTGACTTATCATTCAAAATAAACTATACACTCAAACGCAAATCATATAGTTGTGATAAGCATCGAACAAATAATCTGCTCAGAAGTATAAACTCATCCCTTCAGCAATAACACTCATTTTTATTATAGAATCACTGACGATTCCTAAATAACAATTAAATTCGAAAAGAAGAAAGCACTGGAAACCTATAATTATGCGGAAAATATATCGCCGCATTCATCAGACAAATCATTTCATGTCGCTTATTCCATAAAAAATTGTTTTATATCATAAAAAGACATAGATCAATAAAAAGTAAAACATCTAAGCTGATCTAAGTGATACCTAAACTCCACTGTTTTAAAAACTTTAACTGGAATTTCGAAAGAACTACGCACAAAGGAAAATCTCATTCAAAAAGTCAGTGGCATTTTAACCGATCTACACAGGATAGCTGCACTCGACTGGGGGCAGTTTTCGCATCAGAAATTCATCATCGATCAGATCTGAGCTAAGCTTCAGAAGCAATACAACGCATGCAATTTATATTCATAAATCATTCACAAGGATGCTTGACGAATAACTCTTCAACAAATTCCAGCCAGGTTCTGATGCAGATGCATTGTACCAACTCGAAAGAATGCTTACATTTAACATATTAATGTATCGTACTCATTTCATTTAAAACTATCAAATAAAACAGTTCTTATCGAAGATGTTGATAAGATTTCGCTTAATTTTTCGTACAACAGGCACCGATCATGAAGCACAGAAGTGTGCAAAACAAATCCTACTTGTGCAAATTTACTAACTTAAAAACGATTTTAAAGTCGTTTCACTTTCTGAAAAGCACATTAACGAAACAATCATCACTGAATGCGTTCTTCTTGATTTGTTACTAAAACAAATTCCATTTCAAGCTATCACCGAAATATTTTTTTTCGTTCAGCCGCTGAAATTGTTTCATGCAATAATATTATTCACAACCAATTTATGATGATAACCACTCTAAGACAATCTTCTGGTGACAATTACATCAAAAGATTCATTTAATTCTCATCATCAAACAAATATACTAATCAACAACTACTCATAAAAATCTCTTCCTCATACATTCGGATATTTCCAGGCTTCACATAATATCCAAGGTTCACACGTAGTTACTTAACAACATTTCTGCGAGTGAAAGCACTTCAAGAACTGAATTCATCTAACGATAAGATAAAAACGAACACCAAAGAAGATAAATCATCAAACTTCGAATTAAAATCAAGAAAGACATCAATGTGCGCACACATTTTCTTTTTCATGAAGCCCATACGTTCACAGTGTATCGGCTATATATGGCACAAGAATGTGGCACGCACATCTGAATCTATCTCACTACACTATCACATAAAATAAAAATACGTCGAATCCCAAAAGTGATGCTTCGAGTGGACTGATATCTTATGAAAAACAAAAACGCTGAACAAGTATACTCGCTTACAATCAATGGAATGTTACTCTCAAAAGATGGGGCCACTTAACGGTGACGTCAACTATAGGTTTAAACGACGAATTTCATGAAGAATACCTTGAACAAAGATATGCAATCGAAAATGGAGATATTTTTTGAAACGCGATCAAAAAAATGTAAAGAAACAAAAATGCGCAAACATTAAACATGGAACTGATTTTAAATAAGTAAAAGTGAACAATCAAAAGGACTAAAAACATAAATTTTAAAGCTTAAATAGGAATCACTTGTAATCATACCAACGAAGAAAGTACCCCGTCTACCCATGTTATTCCAATCCAAAGTGATGACTATGTGTAACATATCAATGAACTGAACGCACAAGTTATTCAACACATGAATTAACAGTATGTCAGGATGCTCATAATGAGTCAGCATAATCAAATAGTGTCACATCTCAAAAGAAAAAAAATCAGTCCACTGTTTAGCATCATTACCGAACGCATGAACAATTAAAACAAAACAACAACCCTTAAAAGCTATACATATATATCACTTTCGACGTATAATATTTCCCGAGATTAACAACGATAAGATTCGTGATACACATACAAAATTGATATTTTTCTATGAATGAAGAAGTTCGCTCTAATATGGAAAAGAAACACGAAATAATCCGAGAATTATTTACCTAACTAACGTATTGCTATAATTTAAGATCAATGATCGTTCATTTCATAAATTCAAAAAGAAGACTAAACCAATTAATATAATATAGACAGACAATACAGGTATGTGTACTTAATGGTTTTCAACAAACAGAAAGAAGAATGCAAACGGGATTACCGAATGAAAAGTTTACGATGGCATCATGGGGAAAGAACAATTCGATTAAAAGATGTGCCTCAATTAGTCGGCTCGAGTTGTACATTCCTCCCCACTATGATCATCACTCGCAATCACACCGATTAAAACAACTGATCATTAATGAAACTACTTAGTGGATCAAAAGGATCGTCTGTATTTCACCTTCGAAGAGAAAGCAAGCAAGGTGCAACCGTTCAACGATGTGCACTCCAAAAAATACTTGACAATGCTGGTGAAGATTAACTGTTAATCTGCGATCGTATTCTAAAAAGTACAATTCGTTCAAAAAGGAATAATTGTAAAAATACCATTCACAATGAATGAATCCCATTTAACATCCCATGAGAAAAGGAATAAAAGTGATGCGACCAAACGATCGTAAGACAATACGAATCAATCAAAAAGAAACGATCACAGATTTCTTTTCATTGATGCTGGAGTAGCTGGACTCGACCAGGCAGCTGCGGCGAGCGACGAAAACGACGATCTACAAGATTCAAGTGATGCAACTGAACCCCTGAAAGATTCACTGATATAGGAATGCTTCATTATTGATTTCAATAATATAAAAAATAGAATATGCATATTATATCAGTATATTGTGAATAACTGCATCAGCATGAAAAAACGAGCAACTAATTTTCGATAGGTTAGTTCATTTCGCTGCATTCCTTTGCGCTTCTAACCGATAATGTTCACTAAAACAAACGAATGCTAAAAAATGAATTCGAGTTTTGTCTTTTACGGTTCAAACAAAAAGAATCATTTTGCTGATTCAAGAAAGCGGAATTCCCGAGGCGCAACGGGATGAAATCAGAGAAATGCAAAGAAATTAATGAATAAACGAATAAGAACGTACCTGAAGTCTGCGGAATCCAGCAATTCATAATAGTACATAATCTTACATTTGTGATGTGATAACGAAAAATCAAACGATTGATTTGGAGTTGGTTCTGGATGGCGCCATTGTAAAATGTATGTACCCGCACGTGAACAATAATGAGAACCCTGCATTGAGTCACCTTCAGTAAACTGCACTGGTTTCTCCTCTATTCTGCAACCAATTACACAATCACTTTAAACACCTCAATAAATCATCACAGGGAATATTATAACCGGAAAACGGCATCTCATTAAACAAGAAAACTAAATGAATTCACTCTTGAATAGGTTGTCAATCAATGTCTTTGGAAAATTTTCACAAAAAATATCCACCTGAGATCGATGCCTAAAGTGAGTTTCGAATCGCACGAAATAGCTGATATCGGCGTGGATGCTGAACTACCAATTGCAGCCGTGACCCTCTCAACTGGCGATAATACTGGAGGTGAATGTGGAGTGGCTGGTGTGTCGATCACCTTCTCCGTGTAATATAGCAAAAATTCACAGTCACTCTGGAATGGGCATAGTGATTAAGGAATGATGCTGAAACGATAACAAACAATTATCTGACTAAGGCTTCAATCCGTTTTGTTGCCTTTTACTTTCATGGTCTAAGCGAGCTGATTAAAAGCATGATGAGAATGCAACGTAGCAAATAAACGAAGGTTACTTTTCATTAGCCATAACAACATCTGCAAATGAAGGCACCTAATTAAGAACGAAAACTGAAACTTTTCATGTTAATAAACCCTTTATTGAGATCGGTAGAGCAAAAAATTCTACAATAATAAATTGACAATTGGCTAAATTCAGAAATAATCCGAATGCACCCACACTTCTGGTTAAAATCTAATGGAAAAAACCCTATGAAAATATAAACGAAAGTGTAGCATCAGTAGTAGAGGCAGTGTTAAAGAGAATCACTTATTTGAAAGTATTGCATCGAAACAATCCATGGCTCAACCCACTGAGAATAAATCACTCGATTGCCTATTCGAACACCTTCATATAATATAAAATACACTTCATAAGACGGAAACTAAGAAAGTTTGTATACAATCTTCGAAAATTCATATTAAAGTCAATGCAAAAAGGAAAATATACATCATCATGAGTCACTTACTTGTTCAATTAGAGTACAACTACAGTTTTAATTAAAACCAGATGGATCATATTAATAGATACCTTCAAACTTATTAACAACGAATTGACTCTCAATGGCGCAAGCATGCAATCTAGGAAGCTTACATTCACCAGTAAAGCAATGTGGTGTGGATGCATAATATAGAAAAAGCAAAATAGCGGAATCAGCGATTAAAACAAACGCATATATTTAATTAAGTATCAAAAAATGACAAGATTGATGAAAAATAAAAAAGCGATCGTTCAATCAAAACAAAAACCTACAATTCCTTCACTGAAGCTGGGACGACGCGTGTAACTCTAAACAACGCAATAAATTCATCTTCACATCATTATCTCAATAACTTAGAATATCAACTCTGTGATAAAACCTTTATATATTTGCTGATTGTAGCACCTCAAATTCATTTATCACTTAACCGAATTCAGTAATAAACAAATGCTGATACTGATGAACTTCTTTATAGTTGTTTTGTACACGTTCCTTTATTCACCATACATTCTAATCTATTGAAACGCCGATTGTAATGTGAGTAATTTAGGGATCAGTAAGTTCAAATTCCCTTATAAAACAGTCGGATCCTACAAAAGAAATACAGCTGAATGATGATCATGAATTCAGTTCATCCGCAACTCAAGTACAACTAATAGTAAGAGGGTCAAATGTTGCGATAGAGTAATCAACCGATTTATCATGCAATAAATGATAAGATGTGATTTTCACTCAAAAATGCCCACGTTTCACGAAGATTCGACCTTCAACTCATTATCAATTAAAACAAGATGATCATTTACAGAACTCATGGTTATTTGACTGAATTTTAAAGAAACAACAAAAGTCACACAAATTCTCCATCAGATGGAACGTGATTTAAGACAACCGAAGAAAAATCACTTGATTCGTCAGACTCAATCAATTATTGTACGTGACTTCAGAAAGAAAAACGAATGGTGCACAGAAAAAGCAAGCGAAAAAGAAAATGAGAAATAAACATCAAAAAGAATGTACTATTGAAAGATAATTAATTCACCGAACTGATATCGAAAAGTGCATACATGTACCGATCAAAACATCGAATAATATCAACCACTTACTTTAAGTACATCGAAGTCCCACGTAAGAACGCAACCTTTTGTAGGAACCTTAACGACCACTTCATGCGGAATACCCTTATAGACAGTAGCGGACTGATACGTCGAAGATAAAACCTCATCGTCGATAATGTCCTTGAAATCAATGAAACGTTTGAAAATTTGCATCAACCAAAATGGCTTGTGAGAAGAAACTACGATACATCTTTCCATGAATTATGGTGAAAGAACTTCAATAAAATTCAAATGCAATTTGTAAGAAAAAAATTAAGGACTACAAACAAAGAATATTCGGAAGCATCTCAAGGAAATCAAAAATATCCAAATTGATCCTGGGAAACTGAAACCAACTTCTGCAACTGGTCTATAAAGATTTTTTGGTACATGTCCACCATCAGGTGCATTGCACAGACAACTGCCACCCAGGAAGTCGGGTAAGTACTGTTCGTCGATGTATTTGGACAGTTCGTTAAACACTGATTCACTCGAATTGATCATAAACTTTTTACGAGTGTTCTCATCGATAAACGGTGATATAAGTGTCCATAGAACTGGAAAAACGCGTGGCGCACGGGCAATTAAAACGAGACCCATCGTTTCTGGATAATGTGCTTCAGCAATTTCAATTATGCGCAGCAATGCTTGAATGCCAGGTCGCCACAGATGACGCATACTTAATCCTTCGAGATCAACCAATAAGGTCCATGAACTGAAATGATGACTATGAATAATGTTATAGTGATTATTCATGAACTGAAATATATCATGAATTTCGTCAGAAACCGAAGACCAATAGTCAACTTTCTCACATTATTTACCGTAGTATGAACCGTTAGTGCTCACCTGATTGGCACTCCAAGTTTTTTGGTTGCTTCAGTAGTTTTTATAAGACCTTGTTCGATGATTGACAGCGTGTATTTGACGATCGTTTCTAAACCGACAGCACGCAGTAAACCCTTCATATCTAACTGACCCAAACGCAGAACGAATAACGGTCTGAAGCCAATGTTCTACATGGAACGGAAAAATGAATGACATTCACCGATAAATAAATAATTTTGAAATTTCAAATACATAAACTACTTTCACGAGAATACAAAACGAGATATAAAAATATGCTCCAAATGTTGCAAGCGAAATGCTTCAAAGTTATGCAACATTCGCCTTGAATACAATCTCATTTCATTACTTTCACAAATACAGCAGAAAAAGGATAGTGAAAGAAATAAATGCAAATGTCTTTCGTACCTGCCCTTTTTGTCACAATGATGCCAACATCCTGGAAAAAACTGTTTCAGCACAGCGGGTGGCTCGAATTCTAGCAAAATCCTATCAACGTTGTACTGTTTACGCCATAACAAACTCTTCTGAATCATTTCACTGGCACGTGCCACATCAAATTCACGCGCTCGCAAAAAGCGAAGCAAATGTGCATCATTCGGTAATTTACCCTAAAATCAATTCATTCATTTATCCATATTCAAGTTTTTTTTTCACAACAAAAATTTTCCAATATCACATCACAATTCCCTTCCCCCTCCCCTACCATATAGGAAGCATAAGCGGGTGAAATCATAAGCAAAAAATCTGAATATTGCAAATCACTAACAATAAGAACAAAAACGAGTCGAATCCTATGAATAACTCAAGTAGTTATTTATTGATGAAGTGAATATGAAACTGGAAAATTTAGACGAACTTTTTTGGTAGGTGGACGTTTCCAACTCTTCAATTTTCAATGATAAGCAACACTGTCCTCATTTCAATTAGCAAAAAACAGCGCATTGAGTACATAATATGCACGCACACATCAAAATCTCACTTACAGATCAGACAATGAAGTAATTAATAATGCGAAACAAGAACAACATAGTAAAAAGGCAAAAAAGAGCAATAAAAGCAGCGAATGAACAGAAACGACAACTGACCATAAAAAACACAAACCTTATGTGAGTTGCGAAGACCATATTTCAACTCGCACAGACGACTCTCCTCCAGTGCGCTAAGTTGACCCAAAAAGCGTCTTATATATTCGGCTTCTAATTTGGCCTCGGCTACAAGAAATCGAACTGAACGACGTTTTCTTCCGTTTCTATCATAGCGACGAGCGAGCATAGATAGAAGACAATTGAGAAAATAAGAATGCAGAGAATGACTGAAGCTCCGCTCAGTTCAGCTCAGATCTATCGATAAGGATAGTAGTAAATCAAAATAATATTGATTATTCAGTGATGATGTGCAAATAAATCATAACAAAACAGATTACTGTGCTGATTAAACTGGAAAAAATATAGAAGAACGACTAGCACGTAGCAGATTAGTCAATAACAATGAATAAATGCTTAATCACTCAATCGATCAGATTCAGTTGCAACGTTTCAGCATGATGAGTTGATGATTATGCGCACATAGATAACGGCTTAACGCATGCATTAAGCAATAATGCCGCTATTGCTGCAGTCACTCAACAAATATAATTCGCTTCAACAACTAACGAAATTGTATGCATGCGCGAACCAGATACAACGTAACGCAGCAAATGAATGAACTGAAATCAGTGATATGAAATGAAACGAAATAAAAGAAGACGAAATGACAATACAGCAGTGTAGGAATGAATACAAGAAACTTGAACTGCTAATCGAATAAGCATGACAGAAGAGCATATATTTGTTGTTAGAGAGGAAAAGACTTAGAATTGTAACTATGTATTAAGGATGTACTTATGATATGATGATGAAGTAGTAAGTATAACTGGATTGTTATTGAAAAGAAATAGTCGCGTCTGCATTAGTTCATCCTACTTTTTTCTCAGCTTAACGCACCTATTTATCAATCCTCATTCGTGCACGAACTCACAGCACTGTTTTGTAAAAACTGAACTGACGATTACCTATTGAGTTGTGCATATCAAATGCGCGATACAGATGAAATGCTATAAATGATTGCTTTAGCACTGACTTAAGTTAATAAACTGATTATATTACTAGCATGAAACAACAGCTACCGTGAATTTCAAAAATAATAGTGACACTAACCACTGTATAATTGCGTCAATCATAAGAGGTCATTTTAAAAGCAATATGGATAACAAAGAAAAACAACGATACTTTGAAGCATTCATGAACGCCTAAATTTAAAAAAAAAAAGAGATCAATGTCGAGGAAATCAGCAGCTCGATATATGGATACATATATAAGCAATAAAATGAATGATTAAATCAACAGAATTAAGCATATTCTTAACTCAATACTTGCTTGAATATAACCGAAATTAATTTGTTAACCCACTGTAATCGTTCACTACACATAAGATCTGTTAACAAGTTAAAGCAAAAACATTCATCATAATTTTATTTTATCCACTATTTATAGGTTCATCAGTTATCTTAATTCATCCTTCATTCATCTATTCAAGACCACACGCTATTATCCTTGTCTCTCCTATATTTTCAGATTCTATTATTTTTTTCTCTATTAGAGGACTATCACATGGAGAGAATACGCAGCCTTTCAGATTTTTAAAATTTTAAAATCATCGTTAACTCATAGTATGAACAAACATAATATGAACTTCATAATAAACGAAAAATTTTCGTCTACCAATCGAGAAAACTTTAAAAAGCAAAATGCCGTTTTCAAAATAATTACTTTCAGTTGTTCATCAGTTAGTCGTATGCATGGAACGTCGTAATTTTCAAAGTAAGTCTTGACGAGAGTCTTTAGGATGGATGAATTGTTTAATTCTGCTTAAGTTTCTTAAAACTATGCAGAGTTGGATTTTCTTAGACCATATAATCACTGGACATTTTGCAAGAATAAGCAAGAATTAGTGAGACGGTTAAAGAGAATAAAGATTCCAAAAAAAGAAAAAAAAAACGAAGATGGATGACAACGAGGATAATACTGATATGTAACCAGAAACGCACCGATAAAAGGCAAGAAACGTGATTTTAAAAAACATTTATAACTGTAATAACCCGCTAGAATAACTTAAACGATATTACAGAGAATTGTTTCTTTCAAATTTACCATCAGTAAAATTATTTCCGTTTAATATTCATTGTGTCTAATTAATTGAATTTTGGATGCTTCCACAATATTTCGCGTGATCGCTCACTAGCATGATTAAACTGTGGAGCAGATACGATGAGAAAGAGGAATCATCACGTTCCACATCAAGCAAATGAGACTTATCGATAAATGAAGCGATAAATCAAATAAGAAACTTACGATCATCAATAGATGTACGTCTCGCAGAAGTCACTGACTGTTGTGCAAGCGAAGTACGTCTTGATTGAGCTGAACATGTTGGTAATTGTTGCTCTTGTTTTTCTTTCTCAAACTCCTCACCTTCGCCCTCACCCTCACCTGATCTCGAAACATCGATTGCTGAATCTGCAGCCGATTCATCGGCATCGCTGAACGGTGCTATATATGTTGTGCCATTTTTTATCAACTCTCCTATGAAATACTCCAATACTTCTTTACCCTGAAATCTATCATCAATGCGAGACCATCATTTTGGATCATCAACTTATCGCTTTATCGCCATGTCAGTAAAGCGAGATATAATAGCCACTAATAATAATAATAAATGATGTGGAAAGGCGATTCAATAAACAAGCAGTTACTTAAATAATGAATCAAACAAATGCCTTAGCAAGATTGGCGGCGTACTGTTTGACGGCAAGCTTTTCGACTGAAGATTCGAATCCGAAAAACGATTTCACATCAAGCGATGCACTCTGCTCAAAGCACGTCCATTCACTGTTTTCAGGATGCACCTACAAAGAAGAATCACGGTGGAATAAGGAAGCAAAAATACGAATTCTAAACGAAAGTAATGCGCTTGCATACAGTGATTCTTTAAAAATTACCTTCCGCTGTGTTTTTAAATGATTATAATTCCCAATACATCAAAACATTTTCATTTTAAGCTTATTGCACACAACTTATTTTTTCTTGATTATGCCGATGTGGTCAACCACGAAATCATACTCTAATGTGACACCTTAAGACTTCGAACTTAGAAGAGGATTGGATACTGACTATAATTTAGTTTTAGTCAAGTGTAAACAAGTATTGTTCATAAATTGTTTTTATTTCAAAGTAACACTAAAGAACGATCATATAAAGAGTTCAAAACAAAAGAAAAACTGCAACAATATCAAAGAACGCAATAAAGCAGGAAGTAAAAACAAAATAAACTCACATAATAAAAACAATTTTCTTTGATTACAATACGATTCGAAAATGATATGTTAGATGCTTCTATTAGCAACGTTCGCTTACGTTTATCTAGTGAGTTCTTCTGCGTGAAATAAACATAATCAACACCCGCAATCTGTAATATTATTTGTATGTTTATTACCAAATATCGGTTGAAAACTTGTAGTGATAACTGAGCTGATTTAAAAATTCAGAGGAATTACCTTCTTGACAAGATAAGGAGCATCAACGTTCAACTGACATTTACGTTCGATTACTTCTTCTGCGCCATCTTCTGAATGGTGCTCATATGTGATTTCCGAGCCAACGAATATAGGGATTTGAGGACAAGTAGGAAATCGCTTCTGGTACGCCTCAAATTAGAAATCACTTCGAAACGTCATCAGTATCATCACTGTATGTCAAAAATCAGTCAATGAAAACAAATGGTGAGGAAAGTGATCATTAAAAACGCTGATAACAACAAAACTAACCGCCATGACGATCTCAAACGGGTACTTATAAATACGCACTGGGCTTTGGTATGTTTGCACCATTGCGTCTATTACCTACAATAGGTTCAATACACAATTTGATATCACTCAAAACCATTTCCAAACTTATGATCCCTCTTGTAATGCGATGCGCACAAAAATGGACATGCTGTTAGAGGTTATCACTGTACCAATTTTATGTTAAATAACTGTCAAATAGAGTACAGCACGAAATCATTAAAAGGAAGCCGAAAACGAACCAAAACACGAAAACAAAATTGATAATTTTCAGCGATTGATATAGACAGGGCAGTTAGTCGCTATAAAGCTGTCTCGACATTTCGCCAAAACGGGTGTGAAGAAGAGGGAATACTTCGGATGTTGATCTCTCAATTTCGCAGTTGATGATTCGTTGGCGATCGTTGTGTCAGGTAAAATTTTATCGTATAGAAAGAAGCGTGCTGATTCGGTTGGTGTAACAACAGTCAATGAACGACTAGCAGCGGTGAGAAGCAAGCATGAGCAGGTTCAACGTGAGAGTAATTTCAAAATACGCAATGACCACGAAAAATGTAGTAACAACTGCTGAAGGCTTGTTATTAATTAGCGTTGTGAATTGAAAATAAATAGTATCAGACGAGCACAGTCAAGTGAAATGTAGCTGCATAGTAATCTGTTTATAGATGGCATAAGCACTAACGTCTATGCATACTCTAGTTAGAATGTCTGATGTCTGTCCACATTCATATCAGTCGTTTCATTATCGTCGGAAAATCACGTGAAAGTCTTCAACAACAAAAGGATTAACATTCCTCTACGTCCAGATTTTACTTCACTACACCGCCTTTCTCCGTAACACAGTTGATACCAAGCGGTGGATAAGTTAGATGTGGTCAGTGTTCATCCGTGTTTACGTATATCTTCACTAATATTCCAGAACCAATCTATGCATCCACATATAATACCTGTGCTCACACGTACTAATCGGACTGTATGATATCACCGTTAAAATGTTAAACAAATACTGTAAAATGATAAAAGTTATGCAACCCAACCGACTAATGTGTATATGCCAGCAACGCATCGTTTTTTTTTTTCTTTCTTCATTCACTATCTCGATGAATTCTGCGAATAACTGATGGTTGGTGTATGGAAGAGAAGCCTTGAGTCAGGATATTTTAATTATTTTCAACATTCATCACATACGTACACACAATGATCTTGATGATAGCAATTTCTATTTACATATTTCTGATGAATAAAAACAGCTCTTGTTTTGTTATGAAAGATAAGAAATGATGAACAATTTATTAAGCATTACGACTGATGTGAACAATGCAACAAATGAATAACGAATTCATCTATGAGAAAATACCTTCACACTTCACACAACGATCGCCAGTCAATATGTACAACGGTTTTATTTCTCACCGTGATTCTCACTCATCAAACAGATGAACATCTACCATTTCAATCACCTATACTTCATCGAATAACGAATACGTTCATTTATACATCCTCGTACGTCAGACATTTTAACTAATAATCAAGTCATACATAATCAACAGCTGAAAGCCTTCTTGAATACAAAATAAAAGGAAAATTAATTTAGCAACTTATAAAGCTTATTAATAAACAAATCGGAACGCTTCGAAAAGAGGAGGACACAAAGGAAAAAGGAAAGAAAGCAATGAAAGTTGTTAAATTAAATTTAAAAAAACGATTTTAAAGTGAGCAAACGTATTATTACCATAGCCATAATAGTAGCATTCATAATAATAACTTACGACAGATTTTTTTTTAAACCAGCAAAGGGACGACTAATTAAACGGCGTCAACAATCAAACAACCAATGACACTGCTACAGTGCTGGTGCATTGCTAACAAAATCGAAATGAGAGAGAAAAGAAGATGGATTATCACTTCAAATATAAATATAAATTAACCATGAGAGTATATTTAAAAAAAAACAACAAAAACCACTCAAGACGTACCATTCAGTACTGCGTCAAATTAGATGAACAAACGTTTTGAAACTATTTCTCACCAAACTTATCGTCTCTTTTTCTTTTGAAAACTTTTCCATTCTAAAGCCTTCATTTGTTCTTGCAATAAAATTAATGAACTGTTTCATTCTGTCTTACTTAGGACGATATAACAGTAACTGTGTTCGGTATAATGCAGTGAATTTGTATGTCATCCATTCAAATAAATCATTATCTTCGTGATGAATTATTGGAATGCTGTAATGGCCTTTTATGCATCATTTTATGACAGTAGCTCATATTCAGCTCATAAAATAAAATGAAAATAACGATAATGAAACGGTGAGAAATTGCGATCAAGGGAAATATTTTAAAGGAATTGATTTCGATTCAGCCCTATCAAGCCGTATTTCCTCATAAATTCGTCGCATTTCATTGTGCATTGCTTTCATTTCATTCAAACAACGAACAATATCTTCATGTAACTCTAAATTTGCATTGTAAATCGAGTCACAATTACAATTGGCTGGATGTGCTATCACAGTATCACGATCATTTCCAATTACGTCAACTATTATATCAGAATCTGCCTCATCTAAGTTGGTCACATCCGTTCTTGACATCACTTGATCATCAGTTATCATCGAGTTCATATGATCATTATCATTATGAGCGCTGCTATCATCAGCTGATATCAAGTCATTTTCCGATTCAGCAACAACTGGTGAACTGTATAGCTGTGAGGATGATGCATCGTTTGACCTGAAAATAAGTATCACCGTTCAACCACTATCAGTTTGATGCTTAAAGAGTTTCCGATCAAGTCGAGCTCAACTGAACAGAAGTGCAAGTAAACCAAACAGGAAAATCACGACGAGTTCCTATTTTCAACGGAATGCTTCAAATTACACTTACAATCACCTTTGTAGATGAGTTTTGATATGATGAAATTCGACTGAACAGTAACAGAGCAAACAATACTAAAAATAGAAACTTTCCAACCCCTCGAGAGCTGAAATCGATTTCGTTGATTCAGTATAAAAACCTGCATCGTCATTTGAACCGTCATCAATCGGTACAATTTCTGCTTCACTCCTCGTTTGACTAACACATCTAGTGAATAAGTTCGAAACAAAACGCTTCAAACAAATTTGAAAGTATTGTCAGAAACGAAAATTGTGCAAATGCTGCATTACTTGACAGGAACATGTTCAACTCAAAAATTAATCCATTACCTTGAGTCAAAATATTCTTCATTGAACAATGACTCTTCAACACCGTTCAATTTGACCTTCTTTCCTCTGCTCAACTTGTAATATCTTTTCTTGACTCGATCCCACTGCGGGAAGGGAATTTCTCCATCGTTTTCGGCATTGAAAGATTCTGATTCTGCCATTTGGTGACCCTTAAAAAATACCTTTTCTACTTCATACTCATTCGATTTCTACATTACCCCACATACAAATGGAACATGAGATAAGTTTCTAATAAGTTAGCTGGAACGAACAAAATAAAAGAAACTGATTTTTTGAAGAAAGCATCTCACTTCTCCAGAACGCGATTAGGATATTCAACGTTGTAATGACCTGATAGCTTTGGGCCAAGTTTGGTTTCACCGATGATAACTTGATGTGCCAAAATATTTCACAGATGCTCATTCCAACATCAAAAGATGAACATGCTCCATTCTGACTGGATGAATATAATCATGGCAATTCATTCGCTTGACAACGATGCCATTGGTGGTCCTCGACACAAATTTAATGTTCAGAAACCGGATTCAAATGTCATATAACTAACCAAATTCCAAGCACACCTTGGCGAAATGAGTCCTTGCTTTATACGATATCTACAGCCGGTATCAATCTCTTGTGCCTTAAACAAACGTGCATCTGTTGGCTGGCAGTCTGGATGGTGTGCCGGATAAGCACAACCAACTAACCGACCATCAACCGTCCTGATACGCGCTCGAGGAAATGGGCCTTCATCAAGACCACCTAAAAAAAACATTTGTCAGAGACTATAATCAGAAAGTTGCAAACTGAAAGTGGCATACTTGAAGTGATTCTTGCTTTGTGCGATAAAGTTTCACACTTGGAGCATCTGTAATAAGAAGTACGACCATTTTTGGAAGTTGAACCCAATCGGTAAACACGAACTGTGTCAGCACACTTTTCTGGCACTACAATCGAGGACATTGTCAATCGTTTCGAGAACGTCCGTTGGATCGGTACTGGAGGATTATTTGCTTCTGCTGATTGCCTTAATTCATCGACAGCAAGTTGTTATTACTAAAATAATTCATTCTCGTGACATACCAAACCTAACATCAAAAGTGGGCAAAATTTGTACTCAGTGAGCATTTTTAGATACAGTTTTCTAGCACTTCGTTCAATTCAGAAATTAACCGCAATTGTACTCAAATACACATAACCAACCTGCTTTTACTGCTAGCTGAAGTAGTGACACAATTTGCATTCTTTTCTGATAAACGATTTCCAGAAAGCTCTATACTTTCTTTGCTAGCACTATCGCAAACAGTTTTAGCCGATACCCGACCCTTGAATTTAACAAGAATATGAGAGAAAATTGAATACAATTAATGTGCAAAGAATACAAAACATACTTTTATATGAAGTAAACTCGGATATAAGAACAATAACTGTCTCACAATCAGTGAGAAAGAAAACGAACGTACCGTAATCCAAGTACTTCCTGGATGCATAATGCCACTTTTCATTAGTGTTCGATGGGACATACCGAATTCAAGTGCATTTTGTTCACTAATCGACAATGGACAACAGTCAGGATGATGTTTTGGATACGCATTTCCAATCACGCGTCCGTGAATTGTTTTTACAACTGCTCGTTGAAGTGTTTCGTAGCCGTCACCACCCTCAACATGTTGTTCACTATCTAGAAATTACACGATTTTTCCGCATAAAATCACTCGCAACGTGTCAGCATCCCTGTTCTTCGAAAACAAATGAAAACACACTCACAACAATTCGCTGAAACCGACTTTTATTGTAATATGTGAACATTTTTCCTTTATTAAAGCGATATGCGAAATGTCTTCAAAAACAAGAGAATTCAATTTTACACAGTAATCTCACGACCCTTAATACCTGCATCCATATAGATGGAGCAGGCTGAGTTTTACGCTTCACTTTGCAAGATCTTTCATATGAACGAGAAAATTCGTAATAGTGCTACGAAATTAACGCGAACGTAATGCAAAATTTTCTAAGTTAGTCTAAGATGCTGAGATTAGATACTTATCAGAAATAAGTTGTAACCTGTAGCTGAACATCCATCATCATTCTTTTTTTGACTGAGTTTATCACACTGTACACATCTGTAGTAGATAGTATCCTTAGTTGTAGCCATTCGTTGATAACTACGTACCGAATTAGGATTGTTCTTCTCTGGAATCACCAACGATGGAACTGTCTCACGTCTCGGATGCATTTTAAGTGCATCTGGAGGAGTAATATCACGTTGAGATGAGGGTCGAACTGGCGCGGATGTTTGACAATAGTTCCGATAATCGTACCTGAAGATCGAGCATTACGTCATTAAACTGATCAGCTGTCGTTCGTAAGTTGAAAAGACTAGGACCATCTTTGATAAATTTATGCAACCTCCTATGAGTGAGCTGATTGCCCCGAAGTTGCCTTGAAAAAGTGCATGAAGAGGTATTGTTAACATCGTCCATTGTGTTCACGTAATCTTCATCATTCGTTTCCTTTTGTTGCATATTCTTCGACAACCGGTCATATATACTCCTCACATGAATCGCCTTTGCTTCATTCTGTTCATACCTCTAAAAAGCATCTTCATTTCCAAAACAGCACCACTGAACGGCTGTATCTACTACAACGATATTATATCAATTCTTTGGTCGATCCTCTTCTCTCACGAAGCAAAACTTACGCATTTTTGCCTAAACTTTCCAATGCTTTCAGAAGTACCCGAATAATCCAGTCTTAACTTGTTATAAGCGTTACTTAAAATAAGAAAGTAATGAAACAATTCAATAATAACCTTAATATGTCTCCAAACGGTCTGCAGAGTAACATTCCATCCGAGCACTTTCTCAAATTCAGCCTTTACAGCTTTCACTGACGGTAAATCCTTTTTATATCTGGCTAATATATCAGTAGCACGTTTTTCCGAAAAATTGTTCTTCGGGAGCATCTTCAGGTGAGCAGAACCGTAGTAAGACTATCACTATCACAGATGGACAACATCGAATTTCGGCTTGTTAACACTCCGCCAATTGCACATAGTGACACTGCACCAAGCAAGGATTTTGATATTTGTTTACACAGTTTATGTGTCACATTCCAGATGCAGTAAGCAGCATAGAATTATGCAGCGAACAAACAACAAAATTCAGATTTACGTTGATTTAGCTCGGATTCAGTAGAAGTGAACTGGTGAAGAAATTTTGAATTTAATTATCAAGTTATGCAAGCTAGCGCTTTCAGAGGCAATGGTCACTCGCACTAATTCTGTGGAGTGTGGTACTCCTCTTGTGTACCAAGATCTGTCAGAAGTAAATAATACAAAAAGGTCCAGAAATTATTTACGAGTTGAACTCAATGATTGTCTGAAAACGGTGCCTTGAGAGAATTTTTAAAAGTCAACTAAATATTGATTTTGATAATCGACAATTGGTCAAATACGGAGAACTGCACAGCGGGGCATCTAACAGCCAGCTATGTGACAAACATTTAAAAAACTTGATTTAGCGCTGGGAGCACATGCAACAAACTTGTGGTAATTCGCAGAATCGAGGTTTTTTAAACATCCTCGAATAACATTAGTCTTCTTACACATCAGATTGCGCCTTCACTAGATCTTGCTGAGAAATTGTTGCGAAAAAATGATCGTATAGAAAACAAAGCTGAAATGAGTCATCCAATACATACAGAAACCCGACAAACCGTACCACTGTGCCTTACTGTATTTTTCCGATTAATTTGCAGATTTGAGGTAATTGGCGTAGCCAAAGATGGAGATCAGTAGTAATAATGATTAACTGATAAGATATTCCACACTCTCTCCCGACAAGGATGAAGTGAGCAACGTAGGTGCTGTATCACAATGGCTCTCTGTAAATTAAAAAAACGAATGCTCACAAGGATGGCTATCAAGAACACGTTCATCCGAACTGCAAGTGAATATCTTTATTTCTATTCAATGGTCTCATAAGAAATAATGAACAACACAAATACAAGCACAATTATATGCGTAAAATATGTACAGAAGGCGTCAATAAGAGCTAGCAGTTCCATAACGAATAAGCTACCGGAATAATTCGATTGAATAAAAAATTCATCTTAGATAAGCGCCAACAATACAGTCGTTATCATTATAGTCGTAAAATTACAAAATTGAATAAATTTTTTTCGAAAAAGATTCTGATATATTTCACAATGCAATTTTCAAATTTTCTCTTTGAAAGTTTCGCTTATCTCCAAACTATTTTTTCTTCTGATTACGGAGTTTCTTTCAGTCTCTATTCCATTCAGTTAGTGCTTGATTCGCTAGCTGAACTTGCACATCGATAAAATTGTTCACGGAAAGTTTCTAACTTACCAACGACGATATATATCTATAAGTTGAAAAACAACATCTATGTGTTATCAGTATAACACAGTATTTATATATAAGTCAATGATATATTTTCTGTATTAATGCCATACATAAGATCGACATTTCAGGTTTAAGATGGGTAAAATCTATTTCAATAGCTCTTGATACTGTTCGCATCGTAACTCGAGTGATTCTGAGTTGGACACTTCCTGCATGGGTTTGACATAATCGCTATCGATTTTTGTCCATCAATATATCCGTCATTTCCTGACATCGTTGTAATTTCTTCTTTTCCTCATCACAACGTTTATAATCGGCCGAGTGACACTTTTCTGCAGTACAAGCTCAGATAATATGTGATATAAATGAATGACGAATTATGAAACCGAAATATCAAATAATTCAACACGCCATTCTGTGTGTTTAATATATATATATATGTATACAAGAACATGCGCAATCATAATTCTACTAACAATAAGCATTTTATCAACTCAACCAATAAAAACAACAATTTTCCATGTAGTGAAAGGTTATCATTTCGGGAAAAAAACATCGAAATTCATATATGCAAAATGTCTTGGTTATGAAAGAACATAATTTCTAATGACCATCTAACTCCAAACTGCTGAACGAGAATAATTTGATGCGAAACTAGACTATGAGTGGGCTTCAGCTAAAGTCTTGAATGCGCATTACGAGTTGTGATATTCACTGTTAGTATTAAATACCAACAGTAAAGTACAACATTTTGTTGTTAGGAGCTACAATATCATCTTTGAAAAGAATAATTCGCGACTTTTGAATTCAAGGTTTTACACGATGATTGTAAGTTGTGGTTACAGCTCATTCTATCCATATAATTGAGATTTTAAAAAATTCAAAAAATAATCAAGATTTTTCACGAAACAAGCAAAATTAACACGGTCGTTCGTTCGAAAGAAAAAACTGTGAACACAGAACGAAAATGACTAATTATTGACAGCTGATATAAAATGGATCAGAGCAAGAGTGAAACAAACGTAAAATAATAAACCAAGCAAATTTTCGTGAGAATCTTTCGAATATGGTAAACGATCCATTGAGCGAATCAAAACCAGATCTGTGTTGAGCATTTCATGAGATGCAGGTAATCGCTCATTACAACAATAATCGCACATTCCTGACTGGACTGTTGCTAAATTTTATTGAATTTTTTAAAGATCTCTATTCATTCGTTATTATCGAAAAAAAATCTTTTATCAATCGCATTCAAAAATTCGTATTTTAAATGACATGACCAGTCGACTAAACATGCAAAATACATACATAAATTTTCGTCATCATTGATGTGTTGCAAAACGTTTTCAGTCGTTTGATTCAACTTGTTCTCAGTGAAAATATTCATCCAATGTTCGACTGTATCTTTGTCATCACTTTCTTCATACAACCTTATCAAATTTAACATATCAGTTGATCCAGCTGCAATCAACAGTACATATTCTAAAACGAATGGAAACATTTACGGTGAAAGTTTTGAATTCAGTTCGTACGTATGAATGAAACGTTTTGCTGCGATACTTCTCTATGTATTGTCATTGATTGAAAGGAATCAACGAACTTATTGAGCCAGCGTTAAATCGTACGTTGCCTTCGCATCTCCTCAAATTCCTTTCATCACAGTGCTGCTGTAAGTAAACATTTTTTTAGACCGAATGTTTATGTATTCTTGAACGCAGAAACATTCATTTATTGCATAACCCCTAAAATAGATCCCGCCTCAATTCATTCCCGACCGTTGAATTTCCTCCCCTCCCTCTTCATCTTCGCCACCAAATTACGCATTTCTGGGGATATATATTCGAAGTTTTGTGGTATTATAATTACTTCGTCGGTTAATTATTCATTAATAAATCAATTCATTCACACATAATTAATGAACTGATATAGTGTGACTAACGTTCAAATCTGTTGGAAATGATGCGCAAATATTGTCAATAAGATCGCTGTCTGAAATATAAATGATTCGAAGAGTGAGGCTGTACTTGATATGATTCATGCATTTTTCAGAGGAATACTTGTATTTGCAATTTACAAAAATTTCCTAAAATTCACCTTTACTTTCACACGGCATATACGGTGCGGACATGACCTTGCCAACCGGTGAACTAATGCAACAGATATCGAATAAAGGCATTTTGTGCTCTGAAAATCAGTTGAAAGTGACACGAAATATTGCGTGTGAAATTGGCACCGAAATATCCTTTTTTTTGATCCGTGATGATCATTTGAAGATGGGGATAAATGCAAGTAAAAACGATAAGCCGAAACAACGTTGATGCGAATGGAAGCGCTCCTATTCAAACGGCATTGTTATGACATGCCACAAACAGAAACAATCCAATGAAAGCTACAACCCATAGAAGGAGAACGAGAAACGACATATATAAGAGTTTTTGAAAGTGGTATTAAGAGATAAGAAGAGTTTCAAGTTAAATGAGCCAGCGCAATCTAAAATCAAATGCCTGATATTCAACATCAATTGGGTGAAATCTTGTCGTTTGTTCCGAATCGACTGACAGCCAAAAGTGTTTTTACGCACGAAAATGATGCAATGCGCGTGCAGTTATTAATATTCTAACTTCAAAATATTTCTTAAGAAAACGACAACATCTTATCAAATCGATATCAGCAATTCGCTGCAGTGAATCAAATTTGATTGCTGTATCTGCTGTGGCGATGGATGATAAGTGCTCCACAGAAAAGCGGTATGAAATTATATGGACTGACTGCTTTTCAGACTCTTCAAATCACTTCGATGAAGTACACCGAACGTTTACGTAAAATTAGTGCGCATTTTAAATGGGTTAGTGAATCGTTGGGAAACGATCTGTTACAGGCTAAGTTTTATTTGAATGCTTTTCGCTGTTGAAAGATTGCTCAACTGCAAGTTCATGTATCTTTTGCGCATCAGATAACGATAAATGAATCGCAAGAAACAACAGAATTTATGACGGTTCTCTCAACCTGCTGAAATACCATCACACGTAACACATGAGTAAGCATTATATATAAACCAAATGTTATCCTGAATAATAATTTTTGTAACATACGTTATTCTGTCATACGAATTTATCAAATCATCTTTTTAAAGTTTCATCTATTCATATAATACAAAGGTTGATGATACGTTGAGATGAAAGCATATCCGTTTAAGCAACTCCAGATGAATGGTTACTTATATAACTAACCACTGATTATAAATTACTGCTGAATGTATTCAGTCGTTTGATGAGAACATTTCAGTCTCAAGTGTACACTACCCAAAAATGTCATGCGATGATGATGTGTCCAACAGAAAATTGTTTCGATTATTTTAAAAATTTGCAAGGAGAATAGCATGAAATGCAAACGCGTGAAGAACGGATATGAATTCGAGTGAATGATTCGTGTGAATAAATCATTTTCAACCGCAAAAAAACCGCTTCGTCTATAAATGTTTTGAAACGAATGTCTAAACTCAAAATAATGGAATAAGAAACAAGTTATTAGCTGGTATATCATTACATGTTATAATATTCAACCGCTTTCAACGATTCCTTTATTGACTGCTACTGAAACGTGGTAAGATTGACTAATGACATTGATTTGTTGCAAACTGCAATTAGCTTAACTGCAAACTGCAATCGTTGTTTATGGAAGTAATTTTTGCATTATATTTTAATATACTTGCTACATTTCTGTTCAATTTTATATGCGATTAAATAAATATATCGTGTGAAAATATAACTCAAACGCATATTCATTTCATTTAATCACTCAGAATTCATTCATCATACCAGCACATCCTAAACCACACCAAACATCATATTACACAACAGTAACAAAAAACAACGATAGAGTTCCATGAAAGACTCGTTCATCAGTAATGAATTACAACAGTAACGAAATGAAAAAAACTGTCAGGTGATGTTTTTCATACTAAATCTTTATCGTTCAATTCAAACCAATTGCTGATGTTTAAGCCAAACAATTTGAATTTAATCCAAAAATGACTTACTTTCAACGATTCTATGCAACCATTACAGAACACAATTTTTTTGTAGACGAGATTCGTGTTTAAAACAAAGTCTCCATAACTAGAAATGAGGGTAATTTTGTAGCTTACACTGGTAGAATTTACGGTATCGCCAGTGCTTTCAATAATCGACAAAAAACAGAAAAATGTTGGAATTTAAATGGGGATAAAAATATTTTCAACAGAATGTATTTGACCACAGATGACTGCTGCTGCTGCTGCTCTTATTACTTCATTCAAACGAGGTATGAGAAAGGGAATACTTAAAGCGGAAAATCAATATAACGATGAAGCTGAAACAATAGCACATTTGATGTTTATCAAACAAATGATGACAACTAGTGATAAGGGAACTTGGTGAGGGTGGGTGGTGGTATGAGGGATAAAGCACACTGAGTGGGTGTGCGTATCAATGATTAAATACTCTCAATAGATATCGATAGCTGAATGCTGAACCTACAAAATAATCGTTCACATAATCAAAGAAGACATTCATTTTACGAGCTACTCATCAAATGGCAACAAAATTTTGTTCAACCATCAAGGGGTGGAAATTTGCAACTCAAAATAAGGTAGCAATGAGCAAATATTCTTCACATCGTTCTCGGAATCAAGCGACAACGAATACGCAGTAGTGTTGCTATGAAACAAATAATGCGCATCAAAAATCAAACGCACTAGAAATGTTTTGTTTATGTGTCACTTGTTCCAACTTCTATGAGAGTATTTGGCGGTTTTAGTTTAATAATGAAAACAACAACGTAGCATTTTTAGAGAGAGGCATAACCTTGAGTAAAATTCAAAGCTTATAATTAAGACTAAATCGAGCCTTTACGACATATGTTCATTTACAGTTTCCACAGTACAGTTAAAACGCTCTTTGTTAACTTTATTTTATTCCGTTCTATCAATATGAACAGATTATTAGTCATAGTTTTTCTCACTTAAAATCACATCCATTAGCCTGGTTGCTAACAATAAGCAATGAATAAAAACACATAGATGCACACGCAAATAAATATACAGAAACAAACATAAGTATTTTGTTTATGAATCGATCAAAAAGCATTATAGAGATGGATAGCTGTTCGTCACATGTGCTGCGAACAAACAAAATGAATTTGATGACGACAGTTGATTTACTTTTGAAACGGACACGTTCTGTTCAAACAACCGAACTATCAAAAAACAATTTTTTTTTTTATTTTGCTGAAACATTTTCATCATAATTTTCTCTGTAAATAATGACAAAATGCAAATTTATATATTTTCAAATATGCGTTATCATTGTCCACTATTGCAAGCACACTTTTCAACATTAAAAAACCATCCCTTCAAATTGATCAGCCATCATCTTCATCCTCATCAGCGTCACCAAACGAAAGAAGTCGTCTATCTTGTAGAGATTTTTTTACAGCCACCTCATGATTTCCTCCCGCTTTTTCATCATTTTTTGTGGGAGCACCCCGTTTTTGTGGCTTTCTGAATAAAATTTTCCCCTCGGATATCAGCTGTTCTGAAAAAGAACTAAATGAATTCGAAGACTTTAAAATTCATAAACGATTAAAAATTTTAATGTGTCTGAAAAATAAAAATTACTGTTGGAAGAAATACGTACGATCTTTCTCCTTCTCCTGTTTCTTCAGTTCATCAGCAACTTGCTTTTCATCGAGATCGCTTTCTGTATCCAGTACCACAATCTGCGATCATGCATTTGCTTAATTCATTTGTATTTTGGTCATATGCACCACCCACTTCTTTATCCAAAATCATTTTGACTGACGATTATAGCCCATCTCAGGGTATCAGATCATTGTGAAAATAATCACATGATGATATTACTATATTCAAATATTTTATGAGTGGAATACGGTATTCTTGATCTTTGCAAACCAAAATTACTATAATCATAATGTTCCAGTGTTAATCCTTTTGCTAATAAATGTCCTCCGGAATGACTGATTATTCTGAACTGACGTTAAAAAAGAAGAATCACCTGCGGCCGATCTTCTTCCTTCAATACCGAGAGATCATCTTCATCCTTGTCATCCTCTATATAGCCAGAGGTTGTGGTTGAAGCAAACTGAAATTAGACACGGACACGATAGAAAAGTGCAGTCGTGACGATGATTATTAGCTCAACTTCATACCTTATCTTCAACGGTCGCGGGTGCTTTATAACCGACTTTCTGCTTCAAATTTTTTATGAATGGAGGATCGTCGTTGTTGACGAAGTGTATCGACGACTTTTCTCTATAATTCAACTTTTTACGACTTTCAGACATCAGTACCTTAAAATTTATGAAATATCGTTGCAAAAACATAATTGGACAGCACAACAAATCGGAATTCCCTAACTTGAACCACTTGAAGAATATTATCTGCGCATTTCTAAGTTAAAATCATAATAACTTCAATTCACAATGTGAACATAGTACATCCAACAAATTCACAAGCAATCAGTACGATTAACCCGGCGTATCTTGCCAAAAAGTTGCATTATGACCCAAAGTGATTAGTAATAGTATATTCATAATTTGAAATGTGGCTCGAATGTCAAACTAATTCTAAACATTAGAGATTCATTTTTAAAATATATCTTTTTGTCGGTTTATGTGGTCATTATACTGTTGATGATGTGAACGTTGATTTATTTTGGATGCATTTGTAGGATTGTTGATAGCAATTTGATCTGCCGATAACGTCACAATGAAACGATAATTTCTGATTTTTCATTTTGTTCTTCAGCGGTAAAACGCACAAATACCTTTTACGTAATGGAAATTAAGTAAAAAGGTATTTGTGCGTTCTACTCTTTTACTCTTTGTTAAACTCTTAATTAATGTTAATTTACCATATTCTGCTGAAGTTTACCACGGGGCTTAACCGCAGACTTGCCCCGGGAGCTACAAACTACAGCGGCGAAGCTCATGCACAGTTCAGGCGTTCAACGGTCCTAATCACGATGGATTTAGAAGATCGTAATATATCACGCAATACCCGCACACACTGGCAAACATGCGTTATTCGCATTACTCTAAAATCGAACCGAAACGATGTTTAGGTGACCGACTAGCACGGCGCCAACTGTCGCGGGGCCACTTGTCGAGGAGCCAAATATCGTGGACTCCTGACGCGTGTTCTGTGTGTGTTAGAGTGCACCCCCTCTCCTTGACCTAATACAGCTTATTCTGTATCGTCAAATCACCAGAAATTATATTGTATTCTCGTTTGTTAATCGCATTCACATTATTTATACCTGTATTAAAGAAACATATTAGATGCGTTTTCAACCACAGGGTGATAACAATGTCGAGACGTGATGATGGGCTTGATGGCAAGGTTTATGTTGGAGGTCTGCCGAACGATGCTACTTCCCAAGAGGTTGCTACTGAATTCTCATTTTCGTATATAAAGTTTTTGTAAATTTTGGATTATGATGTAAGAAGTGATACTTCATTTGTATTGCGTAATATGTTGATAAAGTTCGAGTTATTTTTGCGTAGTACGGCATCGTTCCATATTATACGACTGAAGTTATGTGAAGTAAACTAGTTTTGCATTATGAATAGTTGCAGTTAGAGGATGCTTTCCATCGTTTCGGTCGTATCCGCAAGGTATGGGTAGCACGCCGTCCTCCGGGTTTTGCCTTCGTCGAGTTTGAGGATGGCCGTGATGCTGAAGATGCAGTTCGTGCACTTGATGGCACGTGAGTATACCGAAAAGGCGTTTATCGTTGATGTTCATCGAGACACCCTGACGGAACATTCCTCCTTTGCTTTGTATTTTACTTTTTAAAGTCATTTTCGGGTTAGATACATCATTTTGTCCTATGTGTGTATGAAGTTGACCAGTTCAAGGCGGATTTGTGGTGTTCGTGCCCGTGTGGAGTTATCACATGGTCGGCGACGTGATGTAGCACCAAATTACGGCGGCGGACGAGGTAATGGTCGACATTCAAGGTATTTAGTTCATTTTTTAAGCACACTTCTTACGGCTGCAGTCGTGTTGAACAGCTAGTCATAATTTTTTCATTCAGAAATTGACAGATGAATGAGTTAATGTCGATTGGAGAGCTAAAAAAATCGATATTACTGTAGTGATAATATGAAATTTGTGAACTGCTGTTGGCTTCAGTAATCTCAATTTGAAACGATTTTGATTTAAAGGAATAAAGGAGTTATTTGGTTGTACGGGTAAGATGAGGAATTGATTAAAAATTAGCAGATTAGGGTCGGATGATTAGCACAGGGCGATAGCATTTGTTTTAGCGCTCGTCCGCATGCCATGCTCGCTTCCATCGGCGTAGATGCACTAACCGCATCTTCTTCTCTTCACGCATCTACAGCATCATCTACAGCCACCTTCTTAAGCACCTCCCGTCTTATCCTCTTCACGTCGTTTCTACCCATCTAATGTGGGTTTGTTGATTCGTTGATTCCCTCCTACTCATCACTCATATCCTCATTTATTTTGTTCCAGAACTGTGATTATAAAATTGATGCATCATTTAGAAAGTAAACCTTATCAATCTTTTACGGATTCAGTCACTTTGAAATAATCGATTGCAAAAAGCATGCAGGTGCTAGTAGAAATAGAAATAGTGATAAAGAATGCGTGTGGGTATGGTGATGAGCGTTCTCGATTATTCAATTATCCAAAATGTCAGGCAGCATGTGTGCTACATGAATGCTGACTTAAATTTTGATAGCTGCAATAAAATTTAAACACTAATCGTTATTTGTGGCTATGTTTGAAAACCATTACTAAAATGTGCTGATCACAAAAGGCTTGAAGCCTCCAAGCTCATTTTACGTACATTACATCGAAACATTCACTTCATTCCAAGATTTTTTCAGTGATCGAAATCCATGGTATGAATTAGTATGCGTTGGAACACCATTTTTAAAATTTTCTTATAAGTCTTTCGACTATGAGCTGTGAGCCAAAGATGTTATACGTTTTGCACATTGCTCTCTTACACAGTGTCGTTTACTTTGAACTGATCAAAATTTCAATTACTCATAGATTTTAGGTCGTTTTCTGTGATCAAAAACAGTTATCTTTTTCGATATCTGTGAAAATTAGCATGGACTATATGGAAAAAATTTCTCAAATTCCCATCATCGCTCAGTGTTTGAGCAAAATGCTATTATGTGTGTGATGGATATGCCTACTAGAACACCCTGTCTTCACAACCTTTAGAGTTTTTTCAAATCATACTCAAGCTTCATGTGGAGTAAATCTTTGAACGAATTAGAATGTATTCACTCAAGGATTGAATATTTAGCAAATGGGTTTTTTGAGGTTTGAAAATTTTGAATAACATTCCCTCATCTTCATCGCATTAGGAGCATAAGATATCAGTGTTTTGAACTATTCGGATCGCTGTTTAATTAGCGAGAATGAGGCTGCGCTCATCACTTTGGTAGTATCTTTTTTTTCTTTAAAGCAAGGTATATGAATGAATACGTTCTGACTCGTTTAAAGATTCCCTCCAATTGTTTATCCGTTCAAGGTCAAGATCACGTTCTCCATACCGTGCTCGCAGTCGTTCGTGTTCACCGCAGAAACGTGGATCACCAAAGTACGAGGACAACAAAAGTGTTAGCCGAAGCGTTAGTCCAGCAAGGTAAATCATCGATTTTGGTAGATAGTAAAGTGGTTTGCAGTGAGAGTACATTAGCGCAGTGCCAGTGTCTTTAGTTGAGCAGTTGGTGTAGTCGGGTTCGATCCCAACGAGTGACGTTTCATAAGTCGATGAAGCGGCTCATCCAAGTGATGAAGTTGAATAGCGTGAGGTGGCACCAGTGATCGCTTAATGTCATAGTTACACTGATGGGTGTGGGCTTTTGTGTCACGAAAATTGTAAGCAAATTGAACTTTTAGTGTTGGAAAAATGGTTGAAATAGTTTTTTTCAGAAGTGATGATGAGGCACATAGTCGTTCAGATTCACCAGTATGAATTAGGAGCAGCAATTTTTAAGCAACATCTCAAAACTATGATGAGTGGATGAAGTTCAAGAAAAGGACCGAATGAGGCAAAGCCCTTCCCAATGATTTCTTATTTTGGAATTTGTGATATTGTTTTAATGTTTCGCAATAGCATACATGCATGCTTCATGAATTGTTTTATGAATTGTACAAGTTGCTACCATACATTCAGTTGCAAATATCATATCAAACTGTGATCTAGTTGTAAGTTCTTTTATGATTAATCTTTATTTTGTTACTGACTAACTAGTCTATCGTTGCATCAGTTTGAAAACTATCAATTTTTGTTAACAGTTAATTCATTACTGTGATCGTGATTTCTACTGATTTGAAGAAAACATTTAATCAAGTGTTTAAATAACATTCTTGTTGATAGAATTACTGATGAGCAATCTTCGGATATGTACTATCATGAGCGTTACAGTCTTTGCTGTCGAATGATGGATATTATGTTACGAGTCTTTCAGTATGAAACTGCGTTAATAAAACGGATAAAATCAAAAAAGATTTATCGCGTAAGAGTGAATTTAAACATTTTAGGTAGTCATCTCAAATAGAATAAAACAAGCAATTTTACATAACCCGCAAATGAATGCAAGCAATCAAAGAAACCTGAGTGGTGTTGAGCGGGTAGTTATCAGAAGGTCGTGCAAATACAAACAAAAATAGCATCCAAAATACAAGCAACGTTCGAAGAATTTACATAAACGATTCTTAAATATTGCGAATGAAACAAAAACAAAAGTATATACGAGATAGTAGCGTGTCAACAGTAATATTGTATGCATTCATAAAAAGCAGAATATTTCTCATTAAAACAGAATCTAACAATCAACCGACTAATGGGAACAAATTCGAACTTCATTCAGATTATCAATCAACCCCATTTAGTTATCATTCGACCTAATAACAAATAAATGATTTTTTTTCAGATATGACAATCTCATAGGATAATTTTACAGTGGTAAATGAAATTTTATGAAGACACTATTCAACAAGTACATCAATTTAAAGCTTGGATAATTTTCTTATTTCCAATAAGTGGAAATTTGATTTGAGCAACATCAAGACATATGAGGTGAAATAGCTTGAAATATCGAAATATGAACTCTCGGCTAAGTGAATATGGTTGAGGTAGACTTCATTTTGGTAGATATTAAACATTCGAGTTGGTAAAGTGCTTTGCATAAACCACACTGATTATCATGTAAAAGTAAAAATTAAAACACGTGAACGATAGGAATGACGATTACCAAAGTTACCGAGTTCTACACCGTTTGGTACATTATAAATAAATAAGTGGGTTAAGCTAAGAAGATTCGTTGAAGAAATCAATGAGAATCATTTTATAAGATCCTTTAACACTAATCTTTAATGAATACTATTCTTGTGCTGGGAAACTATTCGAAAATCGTATTGCAAAATTATCTTCTGTGCCGTGAATTTGATAGTGAAAAATTAAATTCGTTAAAAATTGTGTGCACACATGTTTTACGGCAAAAATGAATCAGTTGAAATCACCCTTAACCCTAATAATATATCGTCAAAATGCTCCACAACCTATACAACAATCATAAGAATAATCAGTAATAATGATGATTCTGTAGAAAGCGTTTAAATAGAATGAAAACAAAAATTACATTCACTGCAAATAATTAAATAGCTGTTTGCGAACGTGAAAAAACGTTCACGATTTGAAAACTTCCATATAAAGAGGTTGCAATTTCGCGTCAGGTTCTGAATCGAAAAACTGTGTTAGTAGCTGTTTATGATGACGAGCAACGAGGCGAAGTGTTTGCAGTGAATCTAAGAGACGCTGTAGGGCCTCTTCTGGATGCACCATCTGAAAATAGCAAATTTAATGGTAACGTGCTCTGTGCAGGAACGAAAATGCAATGGCAGCATTCAATATAAGAAAAACAAACCTTGTAGTAAAACTGACGATGTAAACATCCCTTCAAACGTTGCACTAAATAATTTGCACTTGGAGTGCCTTGCAGAAGAATCCATGCAGAAAATAGAGCAACTTCAACAGTTGATAATTGAAACTGCGCTAGGTCATGTAAACAACCATGCACCTTAAATACCAAGCAATTGCACGTTACTCATTCATTTAGGTTACATTTAAAAGAACAGCTTATTCGACGTTGAGAAACATAGAAGTTGATATTACACTCACCAGACCAATGAACGTAAGTATGGAGGGTTGTGTAGCGGTTGAAAAAAGAGATATATGAAATTTATGACCACTTAATGCGATGGTTTGCGATTTGGAATCGTAGAACAACGATGCCGTAACAAGACACATCTCGAAGACGTTTTCTTTCAGCACGCAAATGCGTGTCTTTTCATCCAATTGATTGAACTCTTCAAAGAATTTCACAAATCGACACATATTCTCAATCATTGTCGACATTTCTGTTGCAAAGAAATTCCAGCAACCAATTCGATCCTGTAATATTGATTATTAGTGAAGCACTAACTTAATTATTCATTTGCCTTCAAATTGTTACATAAGGGCTACAATTAAGGAATAAAACAAAAAAAACTTTGTACTTTTCGTATAGTACGTAATTTTGCACTCTCAGTTTACTTAAAAAGCGCCTCAAGAATTCCTTTCAGGAATGATGAAAACGAACGCCACAAATAATATATGAATCGATACAAATCGCTCGCTTTTAGACTGCGATCGCATGTAATATCACTCAAGCAAATAGCGAATAAATCAGAAAGATGCCTATCAACTCGTCAGAGAAAACGCAGTCTAAAAACAGTACTGGTATAGATGCTTAAAGAAAAAATGAACCTCATAAGACACCTATAAAAACAACATCCGAAAAATTCTAGCATACCACCGAGCTGAAATATGATCAGTGCGGTAATATCTTAGTTTTGTAACAATTACTGAAATGCAAATAATGATAGAAACCAACCATATTTTTGAAAGAACGCTCGAATTCGTCGTCCAATACTTTCGAATTGTTTTTTAGCCATAATGATGCGGCATGTGCAGATTCGAATTCAGATTTAATTTGTGCCGCAAACACTTCATCTTGTGATACCATCTCTTGTTGGGCACTCAAATAGGTTGACTCTTGAGACGGTACCGTTGCCTTCAAACATTCTTTTTATGGATAAATTTGTTGTGCGAGGAGCAGTTCGGTGAAGGAACTTAACAGAAAAATGATACTATCGTTTACTGTTAATGAATGGGTCTAGAGAATTGATTCATGAAGAAGGTTTCAATATTGCAGTTGAAGTGAACCTGCTGCGGATGTTCATAAATGGTTTCCTGCTTAATCGAATAATTGATTGGTGCAACGGCTGCTTCAGCAACATAATCAGTTTTGTTTGCGTAATCAACATTAAAGACATTCTCGTGTATGCTGTTCGATACTGATGGTGATACTCTCGGTGAATAACCCTCATAGGTTGTTGGAACACATAACGACGACGACTGATTCGTTTCAATTAAAGAGCGCATTTGCTGCTGAAAAATTAATGAACGAATGAACATATCTGTGTGAGCACGAGAATTACGCTTCATGCTACATACTTAACACTATGTTCCAACAAGGTCGATCAGTTGTGGAGATCACCAGAAGTATGTTCAAAAGCAACGGTTCAGAAGTAAGGTTGGCACGGAGACGAGGACACACTTCAATTGATCAAACTCACGTTCAACTCTCAGTTATAATAGTTTAATATTACGATTGTCGTTAACTGAGCGATCACTTGAGAATTTAGAATGTTATCAAACAATGAAGTGAGTTATGATAAATGTTCTATCGCTCACAAACCTTATCACGTTGCTTCTTTTGTAATCGACCAAATTTCACCGAATCTCGACTCATACCCAATTCGAGACATTTTTTTAGTCGACAAAATTGACATTTATTACGATTCACTCGATCGATTGTACACGTTTGCCCACGTGTACAGTGATAATTGACTATCGCTGATTGACTACGTCGAAAAAATCCCTAAATTCAACAGAAACACAATTATGGAACAAAGCTCCATGATGACAGATCAAAGGTAAAAGGATTCAATTCGAAAAAGGTATTATTTTGATAAATGTTATTCTTGAGGAACCACTAAATGATATTGGTTACGATATGACTTTATAATTGGCAATACAGTTACTGCTTTGGTATTTTGAACGTTTGCATTTCCAAACAACTAAATAGTGAATGTTTATCCAAAAGCGGATGAGCTGGATATATAGGTGTTCGTTGTTCAGCTTAATGTAATATATCCCTACTATTTAGATAGATTAAGATATAACGAGTAATTCAACTGAAAATTGTTTTCAAATTTTTGACACTAGCAAATGACTAAAGCCGATCATTTTATGCCTACCTGAACGCATTCACCGACTTCGCTGAATTCACTCAATGAAAATATATAGGTTTCGACGAGTATATACTCGCTCACACATCAGATAACTGATAAAAAACATTCTGATGAGAACATGAGAACATTCAAAACATTCTTGAGTGGTGCATTGTCACTGATTAAAATCAGTGACAATGCACCACTCAAGCGATGTGTTGACAGGGTATACGAATCGAAGAGGATGAGTAGATATGATGCAGAATAAAATGCAACCTCGTAAACGATTCCCTGCGTGTCGTCTGAGGGGGTACAACAACGAGCGTGCGCACGCACAACAACACTATGGTTGACGCTCAGCCTCAGTCTAAGCGTGGCCCCACGCTTAGACTGAGGCTAGGCTTAGGTTGAGGTTGAGTCTATACTCAGGCTGAGGCTGAGCCTCAGCCTCAGCCATAGTGCTGCTGTTGTGCGTGCGTACGCTCGCTGTTGTGCCCCCCTCAAACGACACTAGTACCAACATTATTTCCTTGGTTGGATCTTCACTGAATGCATTTTGCAAATGCATCTTGGTCAGTTGACATGAAAAGATTCGAACGTAATAGAAGTTTCAATAACCTTGCATCCTTCACAGGTAATCACACCGTAATGAACTCCCGATGATTTGTCTCCGCAAACCTTGCAGAGTACGACTTTAGCTGGTGCTAAAATCGTTATTTTTGCAACATATGAAAGATTGATGAAACAAACAATTTGAGCAATAAAAAGTAACACTTAAAAAGACAATTTTATGGAACGAGATGAACCGTTTAGATGGCATAGAAAGTGTTTCATATAAATGCACGACCAAGATATCATCAAATCAGAGTATCATAATGGAAATTCCCACGAATACATCTTTTAATATTTTCTACTCAATAGATATTATAAACTATTGTCTATTCATCCGTTGTGCAAGAACAATGACATTATAAGATATTGAGGATAATAGAATGAATCACTCATTTTGAAAGCTCTCTAAAGGGGTTGAATCAGTTAATGGTCTTTCAGTTATTTGTGAAAGATTTTCACAATAGCATTCAAAATGATCAAACGTTAAAACAAACTATCACTGGTGAGATTTTAAGGAGAATTTGAAATTGGATGGTGAAGACGCGAACATGATGAGAAACGAACCCTCATCAGTTACAGTCGAAGTTGCGGCCGAGTCCGATTCAGAAGAGGCAGTTGAAGAAGTGGAGGAGAGCGGGCCCGAGGTAGCGATCACCCCGACGGCATTACTAGTATTTGCAAGGGTAAGGGCCGATGAAGGGGCAAGCATCATTCTGTCTCACGCGGTCAGGTCACCTCACCGAAATCAAATCAGCAATAACCAAGAGCAAGATCTCGATGGGGCTGGGTCAGCAGTGCTCACCAATTGCCTATGATGCAAAATCGTCATCGTCACAACGCATACTACTCATCAGATCAGTAATTCCTTCTCTTCTTGTTATTACCCAACAAATCCGCTCCGTTTACCCACCATCCATCTACCTATCTTATCATTATTCAATTCCCGCGCATTTCTTTTAGTTATAGGTAAATATTACAAGTATATGCCCTGCGATCTTATATCTTCAAAGAGCAATCCTTTCCATACACACAAATCATTCTTTTGGCGCCTTCGAAACTTACGGAACAACATCTCAACAACACAGCTATGACAAACAAATCTATATCTTTTTAGAACATTACCTCATTGAATATAGGTATATCCGAATTATATCAACAATCAATCTCATTCATATAACAATTGATTGATACAAATACAGTTACCTCTGGCAACGAACTTCACTCACTCCCGAATCATTCTGTTCATGCAATCATCTGAATATGCCAGATAGTACCTATCGTATGCCAACTGTTCATCTAAAAAGACACAAAATAAATGAATCCGTTAATGTGACCAGAGATGGTGAATGACATAAATATTGACATATTTTATAAGTGGTACACATATATGAGTGGCGTGAAAATAAGAAGCTGATTAACGAATTAATGATCGAAGAAATCCGCTTCTTTCTTGAAAAAATGTTTATTCGAACAAGAACTTTTAACGTTTCTGCTGGAACTGTCTTTGAGATGATAGTCTTTTTCTCTCATTATTTCTCTTTCAATGAAATAAGCTTGTCAATCAAACATCTGTCCTCTCAAAGATCAAAAGCTATAAGTCTCCTATTTCCTCGTCTGGATATGATGCTTCCGAAATACAAGCAGCTTTCATCGTGACAACTAACTGCAACAATTGCGTTGACAGCTGAATAAATCATGTATCATCTCACAATAAAGACAAATGAGGAAGCAAGTATCAACAACCTTTTGGATAGTAGCAAGAAACTTCAAAAACCTATGGTGACGATAATTAGCTTTGAAGCAGTTCCTAAAGGAGTTTACGAAGGTGGTTTACTTTCTCAGATGTACCAATTAAATTGGGTTTGCTGAAAACCACTGCATTTGAAGTAATACTTATTAACTTTAACGTATTGCTTATTTTTATTACTTCAACTTCTTTTTGTTACTTATTTGTTTAATTCATAATCGAAAGGCTTACATCTGCAAGAGTAGATCACGTTAAACTGTACCCGTATATTAATCGTGTCGTAAATTATCACTTCATATCACATTATCAGCACATAAATATCTCATCAAAAATACTCTGTAATGACTCAATCGAATGTTTTTTTTGCATTCACAAAAGCAGTGAAAAGCTTTACTGCATACTCGCCATGAAACGCTAAGCAAAGTGTTTTCTACTGACAATTGTGAGTGATGCACAGTCAATTTTTCAATGAGAATTTGGCCGAAATTCATTATTTTTGAATTAGAATGTATTTATTATTTGAATCCGAAATTTATTATTTGAATATCCTGTGATTAACATTTCATTAGAATGCAAGATTTTAAATGCATTTTTTGACACCTGCTGAGAAAAATTTTCACTTTTATTTAAAAAAGGTTATTTGGAATGACAATTTCATAACTGTTTTTATTCCATGAAGCTAGCGATGTTATGCCAATGTTGTCGTTAGATCTACTGCTGCTGCTGCTGATCAAAGACTGATATTGAAAATTATGAATGGCATTCAATCATAACCGATTTGAGTAAATAAAATACTTTTAAAAGCATGAAATTATCAACACTGCTCAAATGATTTGTTTGTGAATGCATAACACCAAAGATGTGTGAGATGATAAATGAATTTTATCAGTACTGAACCTATATATTTCATATACTTCACGCGTTATGTTGATAAGCATTCATTATGCTTCGTTCAGCATTCAACAATTTCATTCAGTCACTTTCAGTTGCAATCACTCAATTATCATTTTTTCAACTGAATACTTTCTTCATTCAGATATCATCAGAATTGATGAATTTGATATTTTCAGTTGTTCGAAATAAGTTCTCATGAATTTCTGTATCATTTATTTCATTTTGCTTTTATTATAATTTGCTTGTCATTCGAATCTGATTATGCTTTCCAGGGTCGATTATGAAAATTTTGATTTTATTATTGTTGATCACCCAAAGTTCATTCGGCGCTGATGAAAGTTGTCGCACCGCATGCTATAAGGATAAAATACCGATGTGTGGTGCATGGCTGATCGACGATAACTCGAACGATTGTACGGGTACTTATCAGGTTAGACGTGCATCTTAAGCTAATTTGCTTCGAGGTGCCTGTAACAAATCGTCTGATTAGTGATGTTTCTGTTCCACACTTCTGGTAAACTGTTCTATTCCGCCCTTCAGTCATTCCGCTCCGTCCTGTTCTTCGGTTCTGTTCTGCTCCTTGAAACAGAACACGAATAGAACAGTTTGACTGGAATAGAAATATTATTATAGTTGAATGAAGGTCAAGTGAACATGACATGCTCGATGACATCAATTCCCGAACCTCTTCAAATCACATGGCTGTATAGATCTGAGTTCGGCTCTTCATGGCAACCGATTACATGCTCATCTTTGAACAGTGCGGTTAGTTGTCGCGTGAACAAAGTTGGCGAACATAAAGTTACATCCAACTGCCTTCTTAAAACTGATGCATTAACATTAAGTGGCCGATATAGATGTCAAGCATTCGAAAAAGAGAATAACAATGATCTTGTAATAAGGTATATATATTCTGTTCGATTGATTGATTCACTTCGATTATAGTGTTTCTAACGAGTGATTTTTATCCAAACCGCATCAATTCAAAAATACAATCTACAGTTCTAATGTTCGTGATCGATTCACATATGTGTTGATGTTTTTCGAACACCGATTCCACCATCGTACGCACCGTATGAGCGCACTGCAACTGATGCAGATATCCTCAATGATAGGATTAAATTTCACGCACAACATGAATTGTGTTGAAGCAGTCAATGAGATCTTGATTGATGAATGCTTTTTTGAAAATTGTTGTTGTTCCACTCATAGTGTAGGTATGGAATAGTTGTTTAGCTTTTAGTTCAGAAACTGCCATAAGTGTGGTTGGAATCGAGCGTTTCGAAGTGATGCACAGTTCGCTGAGGTATGGCCGGCCTGGACACATCGAAATTAAGGTTACTTTCACAAAATAATGATAATCTTGTGGACTGGTGTCTTACTGGAATCTTCGTAAATAAATGTATTGAAGGTGTGCGCAAATCCAAAACCAGAAATCGTGTGGCTTACCAGAGGAGCTGTCTTACAACCAGGTCATAGTACACACCGTATGAGCGCACTGCAACTGATGCAGTTAAAGGTTACTGTACAAAAATAAATTGCCAATAATAATTCAGTGACGTAAGCTCACCTGAAACTTTACCCTGACCTAATAAACAAATTTCTCCTCTCGCAGGTATAACTTAGAAGGAGTGAGTGATATTTTCAATCTACATTTTCAGTCAGTTCAAAAGAAATCATTTTGCCCTTTACTTTTTCTCCCCGACAAACAGTACCGAATCTTAAAACTCAAATATTGTTGCATTTTGCGGTTTTGCTTTGCCGAAATAAATCCACTGTCAAAACGAACCCACGCTATGATGCTTTACCCAATCGGAGCTTATTATAATGGCGTTAAAGCGTCCTATTGTCAAAAAGTCCTAATACAAAAGCGGTAGCATCACAAAGTCTTATTTCGCCATCACGGCTTCTTCATCGGAAGCACCGTCTTAGGATAAACCGACCTATCCACTTGGAGTAGATCATTTCAGGAACTTATTTTAGTTGCTTTGTTTTGAACTCAAATTTACCGTTCCGAATGAGTATTAACAAAGAATTAGCTTTTTAAATGAAGTTGCTGAATGAATGCAACAGTTCCGCTTTATCATAATTATAGATTCGAGATAGCAAACGTTCACAAGGACCGGCATTACCAGTACCATATTGCTACAAAACATATTTGGTGATTGGCCGAGTTGAGAAACAAGATGAGCATATTAATGTGATCGTTCGTAATGAAGGTGAGACTAGAAATACTCCATTAAGATTGCACGTTGTCAATTTGCCATCTGGAGCGATTTGTACATTGAATGATAATTCTGTTCCTTTTTCTGTCATTATAAGTTACATTTTATGCTACTTTATTTTTTAAACCTTCCGTGAAGATATGTGATGTTATTGATTGTGTTGAAATCGTTTATTTAGAGTGTTTATATCTACTACTACTGCTTGTATTTTTGATGTTGATATTACATAAATTGCAGCTATATGTTTCATCAGTAAATGGAAATTTGATCATTAATGCTATGTTCCCTTCTTCATTATTCAGTTTGCACTGGGCGAACTAACAAGCTGCTTTCGACCTCTCGTATAAATTAGCTCATCATCACATTTGGCTAATTTGAAAAGCATATTTGTGTTCAGCATCATAAACTCTTTAGAATGCAATATGTTTTAGTTTATATCTCGGGACTCGTCTAAAATGATCGTTCCTAACTGAGATATGGCTTGAATTGCAATATCTGTCTTCCAGCCGAATCTATAAATGCGAGCTACTGGAAAGTGAATGTTGCTAGTGAACGATTAAAGTATTACTGAACATGAGAGATAATTATCTCATCTCATATAGCCGCTCGTTACAGAAAGGGGAAGCTAAAAATAGTTGAATCGCCTGTACAAATCTAAATATTACCTATTAATATCTTGCTTGATAGTTCGTATTGTAATTTTTCTTATTTGTTCAATAAAAACAATCATCCAATGTTTTTGTCATTTCATTATAACAAAAAATCTGAAATGCAAGAAAAACATCGTTCGCCTGTAAGGAATCAAAATAATAAATGACTATAAGAATGTTGATGAGTTAAGACAACATTCAACAACGAGATTTAACAAAAATCCATTTCAAAGTTTAACCAACCACCTCCAGCTCATTACTGTGTTCATCCATTTGCACTCATCCCAATTACTCCATCAGTAGTTGAGCATTCTCGCAGTATGAATAAGCTTGCATTTCATGATGATCTTTCACCTCCGTTCCTCGTTACATTCAGTGACCATTCACTCGTGTACTTCTTTGTTTGCTTATCAGTTGAAAGTTCACAAATTCCTCATGGGTGGTCGACTGTATTATTTATTCATTTGCTTGTATATGCAAATCGTATTGTTTTTGTGTCGATTTTCATTCTGTGATAGGTTTTGGCTAGATTCATTTATGTGATGAATGACAGTCATCATAAGTGGTATCATGTCGAAGGCTCACAAAGAATGGGAATCGCCTGCGTGATGGACGCGCCCACTAGAATAGTCCCGTGATGAATATCATATTGATTTAATATTATAGCCTTTAATTTACACATTCATAACATTCAGCCATTTGGAAAGTGAGAATTATACGCAGGATGATAGGAACCGAAAGTACTTATTGATAGAACAATTTTAACACTCACATCAGTGTTATCCAGCAAATTATGTGGACTTTTGATGCTGTATTCTTGCTGGATTTTTCTATGGAACTAATTTTGCAAATATAATATATAAGACAGATATACTGAGACGAGTTTGAGAATGAGAAGAAACTCATAACAGCTAACATATTTGCGAATGAACAAGTGTTCCAAGAGGCTCCCATGCAGCAACTGCTTTTCAGGATTATTATGTGCAGTGTTCGAACGCTAGTTTAAGGCGAAACGTTGAACGAAACATTAGAGTTGTTTGATGAAAAATTGATGGTCACAATGATAGTGCATTACGACTGGTTGTAAGTGTGGCATACATGTGAGAGGAACAAGAAGAGAAGAAAAAGAACTGTTTGTGATTTACAGACGCTCATTATTTCAATAAGCCGGTTTCTTGCTGATCGTGCAGCAAGCGACATTAGTTGCTCATGGGTAATGTGCAATATACCTAGACTGCAACAAAAAATCTAATGAACCGCAACAAACTCAATAAACTTCCCGATTCCATTTGTACGACAAAACCTGCATATTTCAGTTCATACATGAACATTTCTGGTATCGTAATGAATTTTTGTTGTTAATGTTCATAAAGGAATGCATTTAATTGTTGTTATCAATGGATGATTTCGCTCATTTAATATGTTAACGCTTCATTCATAGGGACAATATCGTCATTCTGAATTGATCAGAAGTAAGTTAACAATGGCCCTGCAACGCGAAGCAACAGGCTTGAGTGAATAACAAAGATCAACAAATGATAAGGAGTTTAAAAGGAATGCGTGCGTACGGGCAATTAGTGAAGCGATTATTCGAATGTGTGATGATGACGATAATATTTTTTTTTCAAACGTGTAGCTGCTTCTATACACTCGCTGTTTAGAGTGGCCGCAGAACGATTATACGAGAGCATTATGTGGGTGTATTCTCATCAAACAAACTGATTCACAAATAGCACAGTTCTTGCGTGCTTTTAGAGAAACGAACAGCATTCGTTCATTTCAGTTTTCATTGCAGTCGAGCAACTAATCAACAAAATGAACATGACCAAATATCTGTGTTCTATATCATGACTAAACGCATCGTCGAAACATACACATGCAGCAGTAATATTTTATAAAACATCATTTATAAACAAATAAACTGTAGAACAGCTTCGTTCTAGACCATAGTCGTAGTCTGGAAGAGTTTATCCATAGAACGCAGTCACTACTATTGTCATATTGTTGTTTATAAATCTGTTTTGAAGTTGTGCTCGTCGACTCTCAAAATTCAGATTCGACATATTACAGATACTTCGGGTAACACTTCACCAATTATCGTAGTGAAGCAGGTATTCGCTGCACGCTATATTTTCAAGTGCAACTCGTAAACATTAAATTCATTTTTCTTTTCATATTCTGCTCTTGCTCAACATGGCCAACTGTCAAGGAAATTATTATACAAAGGTAAGCAGCAGTGTTAACTTCCCTAATTTCAGTTTATTTCATATGTTCGTTTGCATTTATTTTATTCGCGATTCATGCATATTACGATCCATATACAACAGCGTCTAATGCATACATTAATGATAATAATAATAAAAATGATAATGATAATAATAATGATAATAATAATAATAGTAATGATAATAATAATAATAATAACAATAATAATAATAATAATATAATAATAATGAATAATAAATAATAATGAATAATAATAATAACAATAATAATAATAACAATAATAATAATAATTTCAATTTACATTACGTGCTGTTGTTTGCTGTTGATCAGATGTGTTTTGGGTAGTATTTTTGAAATGTTCTATGTATAAAATTCAGCAATAGCCATTCTGAAACTGTTCCATAAACAAAAATTGATATGAAAGAATGGTGTTGAATTGTGACTTGATTTTGTCGGATAAGATGAGTATTGACATTTGATATGCATTTACAATACATAAAAAATTGTATTCGTGTGTCTTCTTCATTGAACACAACTTTTCAATCAACTAATAATTTCATATATGGAATCGTTGACATTTTTTTTCAGTGAACGCTTCTTTGCATTCAATGAAAACTTTCCTTCTGAATTTGTTCATACACTCAACACTGAATTCATACACTCGTTCACAGACTCAAGCGAAACGTGCCTGCCTCCACTGATGAATCGAAATGATTTGTTACTTGAGGCCGAGTGGGCACGCTCATAAATGAACTTGAATTACACGTGGTGTGAGCATGTAAGACAACATTGAATGTAGCTTCATCATTCGCTCTCTTTACATGACACGTTTCTGTGAAATGCGATTGGTGAATGAATGTTAAATATCTTCACTCACTTAAACAATCATCGAAACGTCCATCTTTCACGTCACAAATCAATATTCAATGTAAGTATTCAGGAAAAAATTATAAAGAAATATCTTCAAAAAACGCTTATCGCTCGAATTATTTATTTTTTTCGATGTGAAACTAAACCGGTATGGTTTGAGGTTTTTCTCCTTTAAACGTTTTGGTACGAATCAAACTCCAAACTCTGACTACAGCATGATCGATGAGGTTCTTCAAAATTTAATTAATTCGCTTTTTCGTATGATTAATTGAGCGTTCTTATGAAGGCTGTTTGCGGAGTTGTAAATCATTCTAATCATCGTATTTCTCACTAAACGTGGAACGCAAATGTAAATTTGAAAATCAATGATGTAATAGTTGGAATGCTTTAATATTTTATAACTTCATCTTGCGATCGTTTTTATCTCACAATGTTAAATCCGTGAAGTGTTGCTTCTGCAAATATCAATATTAATGTACCTTTCTAATCAGTAAACAAATATTTAATACCTTTCTTAATGTTTTTACTTGTTTATTTGACTATTGCACTTTATTTATCAGTCTGCGATTAGGAAAATATATCAGTCACCTATTAGGAAAACAATTTAGTAAGTCATTCTAATCAACACGCTAAAGAATGCGCTCATGTGTTGTACGTAACAGATTGATGCTTGATAAAATATGTGAGAACAATGAATGAGTAAGAATGAATCTTTTGAAAGACAGTGACGACTGTAATGAAATCTGACTGTGCAGCGCGCTATCTCATCATTTGTGCTTCAGAAAGAATGAATGCGGTTGGTTTGTTGGATGATTTTATCATATTTGTTGTTTGAAATACATATTGATAGCCCTAATTTGCTATGTCTACAACATAGTCAAACTTAGACTGTAATAGAAGTTGATAAAAATTTTGGATGACAGTTTCTATTTAAATATGACTATGTTTTGGTTCAATGAAAGAAAGTGAAACGAAAATAATAAGAAACAATATAAGAGAAGGTGTGAAAGAAAAGAAATTAGATAAAAATGATGAAAGAAATTGATAACTTTTTAGTGTCATTGAGAAGAGCATATGCGTACATAAGTATTAGAATGAATGCGTTTTTTTGATTCAAGCTAGTCACCTTCAAAAAAGCTTTTCAGCAGAGCACTGAATGCACAAAATTTATGAATGTTAACTGGAATATAAAGTATTATGTTTGCATTAAATTCTGAGCATTCGATGATGTACATGAACGTATATCTGTGAATTCAATAAGGCCACTGTAGTGCCTATTCAAAAATTTTATAAAGAAATTTCTATTGATTCAGAAACGACCAGATGATTTGAACTGATTTTTGGCGGTTGTTCGTATGAATGTTGTGAAGTGATAATTGCTCCCTAAGCATTTGCATCTATATCCACATCAGTATCATTATTATCATCAGTGCATCGTTTTCTATCACAGCACTAATTTCATGGCAAACAAAAAAAGATGTGTTATGAGTAAGATTGTCACTGTGAAAGAATAGAACTAGTTGAATGAATCGAGCAAGTCAGCGAAAATTTTATGCGAAATGAAATCATTTCAAAATGAAAAAGTATTATAGATTTGGTGAAGAGGCTCTGATTGTGGTGATGGTATTGTTGATGATATATATTTCTGGGTGTTTGGTCAAAATGACGATCATGCTCATTTACTTCAAATATAATAATCATACATTAC